CCAGAACTTTTCCATCGCGTCGAATCTTAATTAGCAGCGTTATCTACAATATCCTTCGCATCTTCGATTAACGAGACAATGAAGCTAATGCCCTTTCCGTGTAAACGAGCAAACCGCAGCGATAGCGGACGATCCAGGATATCAAAGAAAACCGAGGAATTCACGTTCTTCCCATAAAATCCTCGTCCGTTCGAGGTTTAGGAAAAAGTTGCTCATTTGTAAGCAAATGTGTACATGGTGGACACTGCTTTTTTCACAAAGAAAATATTTTTAACGTCCCTTTTCGGAGGTCGAGAACAAGTTTCCCGGGATTCAACAAATTGAATGAAATCGATTGAACCTGTTCCGACAGGGTGGCGAACGGAGGACCACCCGTAATTATGGTGACGTAGGTCGGGATGGTGTCCGAGGTGGTAATTTGAAGGTCGGTTGTATCTTTTTGACGGGTTTTATTAACCAACTGGGCGGGGCTTTATTTCATTTAAGGGGCTTTTCGATACCGAATTTTAAAACGTTCCATAGTTCTTTTATTTAGGGTTGATAGGATCTCTTTCACTGAAAAATATTCTCTCAGTTATTAATTGTGATAGCAAATCTCGGATGGTTCAGATAGCAAGCAACAGTGTCTTAAATTATAAAAGTGAACTCATTCGTTCAATCAACGCCTCCGAATCGAACAATTGTTATTGCAAAATATCGAAATCGTTTATTTTCACTGACTCGTTCGCACATCCTTTCGAACAACCGCGAAACAACTGTTACGACATCGACAGATAATGTTTATTTGACTTACGATTTCACGTGCGTCTAAAAATTGAAACGATTGTTATTCCGACATCGAGCTTTTGCACGTTTCGTGTCCTCGGATATAGGAATCGAGATCATTTTTAGTTCGATTCGTGTTTGAAAATCTTAAACTTCGAGGTACGGACACCTTGGTTTCCTTGAAATTAGGATATTCTCCTATGGTTCCTAGAAGACTACTCCACATCATAAGAGCCCAAAATCCCAAAGTCTTAAGATCTACCCCCTGTAAGATATCTACATTGGCTAAGTACTTGACTATAGGGATGTTCTGATTTCTCAATCCAAAGATTAAATCTCAGAATTGTAGACCATAGAAGTTGCATAAACTAGTGCCCCAGGATAAAATTGAAATTCAGTGCTACTCGAGGTAAAAATAAGAAGAAAGAAAACTCCGATTATCATAAGGTGTTCAGGTAAATTCGAAAGTTTCAATTTGTCCGCGCCGCGTCGTTTGATAAATTCCTATGGTCATTAATTGTTGCACGAGGGAGGAATATATTGTAAAGGGACACGGAATCGGCAGCTTTGATGTCGCTGGATGCGTAAATCAGCCGATTTCCATTGGACAAATCTCGTGGAGAGTGGTACCTGCCCATCCACGAAATTTATGCTAAGCGAACCCCTCGGGTGGTCCTTCGTTTAACATCCACGGACTGCCACTAAATTTGAATTCCTTCAGGGATGACCGTGACTTTCGTCCTGTCATATTATCCTATCGACTGTACGATATATTGTTCCTCGAGGAAGCGTAAAGAACCCCCTTATTACACGCCTTAAATCGCACCCTTCAGGAGGCGTTGCCTGTGTTTTACATTTTCTCCAACAATATGATCGATTCTCCCCTTTTACAACTTTCAACATTCAACGCGGTTCTTTCTTGCTTTACTTTTCGTACATTTAGCAAATTGCAAAATTCGAATATCTAGAAATTTTTGGAATACAAGAATTTTAAACCTGAAGAATCAGAAGTCTTTCTATAATTTCAGAATTTAGAAGGAACAGAATTAGGACTTTGACAATTTATGAATATAATGATCAGAGAATCTTTGTTCCTTCGCTACGATGAACATAGAAGCTTCGACATTCTTTTTGTCGAATTCTAGTCAATCTGGCGACCAGATTTTCGCCATCGGCTCCCAAGGATCCCGAAGACCCGCAAATTCTGAAACTCGACTCCGCCTGTGTCCTTTTCCCTCGGACCTGAAACGGTGCTGGTTTTCTCACGAGAATGTTTTTGACAAAAAAATAGAAACCAGACGTACGTGTGTCCAGAATACGTGTGAGGAGGGGTTGAACAGGTGACGGGACCCAAAGGGAATATTTCCCTCAGAGACTCGTGAAAGAATCGTTGCTCCAACTCTGAGGAATATTAATTTGCCTTTGAATCCATAATGCGTTTTTTATTCTCCTTTCGACTTATTTTCGACTTCTTGAAAGAAGCAGCACACCTCTACGAGTCGTTGAGAAGAAATCAGTCGCGATCCTCCAAAGCTCGTTATAACGATAACGAACAAATAATTGCTTCGGAATAAAAACGGGGATTTTGAGAATTTTTTTCTTCTATAAATTTAGCTCCATATGGTAATGAACAAATAATTGAAGGATAAAAATAGAAACTTCCAATGCGATTGAACGTTCGATTACTTAATCCTATCCGAGAAAAATATGGAGATTACCCAATTGAATGATGCGAGTTTCGAATGAACCCAAGTTATTTCAGCAGTCATTCACCGCCGTAATTATTCACGATCTTGGGCGCGACACTCGACAGATCGCATTATCTTATTTACCGAACAGTAAGTCTATAACCGGTGAATTAAACGGTCGATAAAGCGTGAACGTATAAATCACCGGCCACCAAGAAACATATTCCTTTCCTTTTGAACGTGAATTCGAAAGCGGAATAGAATTTCTTGCAGCTTCCTTAATTTACGTATGGAAATCTTTTCTCTCCTTCAATAAGGAAATTTGGGATGCTCGAGATAAAGATTGATATAGTGGAAGGAGGGGTTTCAATTTGTTATCGTGTGTTGGCGGAACGAAAGCGTGTTTCATAATTGACGGGCCGAGAGTGAGAGCTGTTTCGAGTCGAGAAAATTGGAAAATTGGATTGCCTACATGTTCCTGGCTCGTTATCGTACAATCTATTTAGAGCGCTGGCTAAGTAAGTCAATCGTTGATTGTTATGCTCCTGTATTTACGTATAGTCGGGTTTGATCTTGATGAAATTTCAACGTGGCCGAAATAGAAAATCCCAGCTTGATCGAAATTGGAAATATGATAATTTCACATGTTCTTTTATTTGTAAACTACGTTATACTGTAATACATATTATATCACATTATATTATATCATAGCTACTATACCATGATCACAATTTTCTTTTAAGTTCCATTTAAAAGGCTCATCCAACTCAAAATTGACAGACAACTTTTTGTTACAATTTATATTACTTGTACATAATTATTATTTATCATGTTATTTATATTTATAATAGTTTTGAGAATAAAGCACCGTTACAGGAAAATATAAATAGAATAGGGAAGTGGAAAATAACTTTTCCGTTGTGGCCGACTCGAGACACATTTAAAGCTTGTTACACGAAAACAATAGGTGATACAACTTTGTTACACGGTTCACGGTTGTCGCGAGCAGACTGAGCAATTTGCGACACATAAAGATAAACGTCGCCGGATGGCTAGGTTCTGTAAACGAAGTAAAGTGTCTTTTTGCGGAATAAACGAGTCCTCGAGCGAGTGCAAGTAAATCTTTCGAAATTTAACGCATCGTACGGTTTTATGCGTTTCCGGTGTCGTTGATGCGATCTTAGCGAAGCCGTTTCGCGGCCGGTTGAGCCCGAGGCAAACGCGATGTTCGATGCTGAAAATATCAGTAATAATTTTCAATCAACTCAAAATATTCTGCATCGATTTATCAACCGCGTTAACAACAATATAAATCGCTGGAACCTGTTCCGGAATTGTTCTGCCAACGATCTCTTGCCGACCATAAATTGTAATTAAGCTTGATTAGATATTTCGAACCGAATAGACGGGATACATATAAATGCTGCTTAATTGAAGTGTTAGATTCTGACACTTTAATAGTACCTACCTGTCTAATACGCTGTAACTATCTTGTAAACTTTACTGTACGTCGATTCATTTTATGATTTACGGTACATAACTGACGATTTAATATTTGTCTGTTGGTATTAAATGAGCTGTATTTGTAATCTCTGCAATGTATTGATAAATTACGTTATATTATTACACAGTCTTCTATCGTTTAACGATGACTGATATTACAGTTCCAAATTTTCAATGTACCAAATTTAACAATTTGGTAATGTCTGATATTAACTCTGTAAACCTATGGGACCTGGTCAACCTACTTATCCTACTCATGTTAGTACTCCATAAGTACCTTTAAACCTTGAATATCATAACCTAACCTAAAATTAAAATCTAACTCTAAAACACTAAAAACTGAAGCAGCAAGAATTCGCAAAACACAGAACAGCATGTAGAAAAGTGGCAGACCAAGCCTCTTTATAAATAGATAGGCGTTTAAAAGGTAACCAGGGGACCGGTTTGTAAAGGGTCCCATAAAGTAACATCAGAATCGCGGCACGCGTGGCGAATTGTCATAAATCCGATCAAAAAGTACGACCAACTATTTTATAGAATATAATATGGGGTGTCCTCCGTCCCCGTAAAGAAATAATAGACCGACCCTAGAAAACACATGGCTGGCAACTTGGGACCAGAGCTGAATTCGAGTAACAGAACACGTCCGGTGTGTGCATCATAGCGATGCACTCGACCCCCATAGATCACATGCACCATGGAACTAGCCTCCAAGTTCTTCAGCTTCCTTTCAAGGATCTGTAGGAATAAAAATCAAGGGCTTCATTGAGCTCCTTCAGATTCTTATAACCTCTTAAAGTTGATTGTACCAAACTTTAAAAATTCGGACTTTAAACTTTAATACTGTAGACGTTTATTGTTAACTATTTATAGTTAGGTTATTGTTTATAAGTATGTGATCGTATTAACTATTTACGATCGAATTGAAATGCATAGTCGAAGTATGTAGTCACGGTGCATTAAATATTCGATGAACTTTCTTTCATTCTTGTAACAAGTTTTCACTGACCAAGTTTTTCATAATAATTCGTGTTCTTGTTTCAGAAAGCCTCTCATGCCGCGCCACTAGTTACCGGTACATCTGTTGTTGAAGAAGTCGGGATGGCGATCGCGAAATGTCTGATCGTTGCGATACTCATGATCCTGCAGATCGATCGAACCATCCAAGGACAACTAGTTCGATTAGGTAAAAAAATCCTTACATAATACTTACAAAACAGCTCGAGTGTATCAACTAGTCTTTGCAAACATAATTTATAAATCTTCCAAAACTTGAAGTTGCAATTTGCATCCCTAAATTTAGAGTCGAATCGCTTTCAGCAAAATGCAAAGAATCTAAGAAAACATGGAAAAAAGTATCCGACGATTGAAAAGCGCGGAAAAGAAAAATCGTCGGTATTCCACACGCAGAATAAAAGCGAAAAAAGCTAAAAATACAAACGACACCGTCCTCGAGGATTCCTTTTCAGTCACGAGGCGATTAAGTTTAGCGTTCGAACGTCTACTTTTGGTTCGCTCTTCCTCGTCCGTTGGCTGATGCTAAATTTTTCTTTCCTCGTCGAGCAAAACGATGCCGGAGAAAAGAAAAAGTGGTAGGATGCTTTCGAGCATAGACGCGAGTGGATTTATAAAGGAAAGCCAGGATATTTTCGCGGGGCGAAAAAAGAGGAGCGCGATGACGGGGTGGAATGAATGGAACGAGGCGGGGAAAAAAATTAAAATAGATCCGTGAGGACGAAGGGACTTAGAAAGATCCGAGGATGATAAAAGACGGATTTCGATCGTAAGAAAGACTGATCTACGACTTCTATTTGCGGAGCAATTTTTAATTCTCTTCGGCTTTGAACAGAATGTTTTTCAAAATAAATATCTTTCTAGTTTCTTTCGAGGTACTTGAACCTTGGTATACAAGTTCTTCAGTCAACTGAATTCTACAACGATAATTTCATTTCTGAAACGTCTACATTCTATAAATTAATTATTAATTTCACTATTGAGACATATAGTATATATTTGAACTATGGTTCTTTGAATATTAACTTCCTCTGAATCAAATTTTGCCTCGAAATTTTGATCGAACACCAAACCTAACCACATCGAACATTATACTTTGATTAACAAAGAGTCACATTTTGTATTGAGTGCAATTATAAAGTGTAAGTAGTTGAAAATTGTTCTCGATTGAATAAAAAAAAGATTTCGAATCGGTAAACGATCTAGCTAACGAAATCTTGGTGTCCCGGTGACGCGGTCGCAAATCGTGCTGCTCTGCCATCTCTTTCATTGTCCAATTGGTAATATCAGCCGCTATTACCCTGTTGAATACATTTAATAGACAAAGGATTGGCAGAGGTTCTCATTTGCTGGTGAACAAACGGCACACGGTTCTGAGCCGTGGAAACGCGGTCGACGAGGTTGAGAGTATCGTGGACGGTTTGCTAATAACGGGCGAGCCCGGCTGTACATATGGCATTCAATGACCGGCCAATTGGACAATTGAGCTCAATCATAATAATACACGTATATACACGGATCGTTGCAACGCTCGCGTTTCGGCTTGTTATCAATAAATTTATTTGCCGGAAAGTAAATTCACCCGTTCGCGTCCTGGTTTCAACAATTTTCTTCTTTCCGCATGCACTTTCCTACGGGCTATTCCACGAATTCCAACTGTTCTGAAAGTCTTATAAACTCGTACGAACACACCTTAGTTTCTCGCATATTTTGTCGCGTAAGTGTAGATTCGCATTCTATGTGCATTCTGAGACACTCTGTATAAAACAGTAAGTGCAAGAAGATCAAAAAGTTTGGTTACATTTTACAATAAAATTAGATTCTTTACAGAAATAGAATTAAAAATCCTTGTAATAGCAATGTTGAATTTATAACACGAGTTTATGAAGAGACTATCTTCCACTGAAAGATAAGTAAAAGTCGAAACTTTTGAAGCTGACGGTAAGTTTTAAAATTCGTGCAACGCAGTCCTAATGAACATTCTGTCCACACTTCCCCCGATACCATCACCGAGCCATCACCGAATTTCCACGCACAATCTACGGTCCTCGGAGTATCGCGAGTAAACAGCGATTAAATTTTTTGTGAAAACGTGGTTCCACGAAGGTGAACTATCGTAGGTAAATCCTGGAAGGAAAGCGAACAAAAGGAAGAGGATGCAGGGATCGCAATAAAACGTCAGTGTCTGGCACAGGTAGCTTTACTGTTGGGCCAAGCTCCACCTATTAATGGACGTACACGTGTGCAATTGCTGGGAATTTACTGGGAAACGTCGGCTTCCAGCAAAATACCGTTTAGAGAAAGCGTTTAATGGCGAGACGGGGCTGCGTGCCAGATGTTGGAGTTTTCCATCGGTCGAACAGTGAAATTCGACTTTGACCGTGTTCTTGGAACCTCGAAGATTGCCCATTGTGCGGGAAACCCTTAATGGAAACCTACGAAACGAGTTTATTAAATTTCGAGATGGAAAGCCGTCGATTTTGCCACTAATTGTGAACGTGTACCTCTGTATTCGGTTGTATCGTGTATGATTTCCCTAGGAACTTAGGGAGTCACTCTCCAATTCTGGAAAGTCGAGTATGCAAACTTGGTAGCTCTCAAGTCGTCAGAATTGCAAATTCTCAACGTCCTTAATTCTCAAATTTCCACTCGACGCATAAGGTTCCCAAAATTCCAAATTCCCAGCGCATCAAATTCTCAAATTCCCGAATTCCCAACGTATCAAATTCTCAAATCCCCGAATTTCCAGCGCACTGAATTCTTAAGTCCCCAAATTTCCAGCGCATCGAACTCTCAAATCCCCAAATTTCCATCGCCCCTAACTCTCAAATCCCCAAATTTCCAGCGCATCAAATTCGCATATTCGCACCATCACGGTTACGAATTTCATTTACAATAATTCAGCAGCAAATAACGAGACGATTACTCGGCTGAAAACACGTATGCTTGACCTCGGACAAAGCCGAAGCTTAATTACGATTGTCTGGCATCGGTAGATGGGCAGACAAGCCTTAGCTCCATACGCTCATTAAGATAGCAGCCGGTCTTGAGCACTGTCCCTTAATCTCTCGAAAGGGATCATCCTTTGAAGGTATAATTATGCAGACAGCCTCGTGTGGGACGTTTTGTACCTGACCAACCCGCACTTGAATCTCCCGCCGTCAAACCGTTGAACATTTCTATCTGTCAGTCGTGCGTATTCGTCGGAGAACGTTCTTCCCCCTTTTTTTCTATCGAGCGTTGTTTTATATCAAACAACGAACCCTTCAGGCTAAGATGGAATCTTAATTAGAATGTCCAGGATGCCTGGAGACGAAACTCGAGCTCTCTATCTTGACTTCCTTTCTAATAGATGCAACCGAGTGGTCGATACTGTGGTAGTCTCGTTATATGGCCACTGATGGGATCGAGAACGTATTTGACTTGCCTGTGATACTGGGTTGGCAAAAAGTCTTCAGTTGGGGTTCTCGTGAATTTTATACGATGTGATGATACAATGGGGTTCTACTAAATGTCTATGTGTTGTAAAAATGTCTAAGTGCACTATAGTCATAATATACAATGTAAAATCAATATGTATGATTAAAGTGAACAATGCATAATTTACTGCAAACATGTATCGACGTTTGAATACCAACCTTGAATGACCTTTACAATCAAAGTCGATATCTGATCGAGATAATTGGATAAAATTGAAAGATTAAAGCTGTCTCAAAATGACTCGACATTTACAGACTGTTTTCACATGAGATCCATTGTTCGTTATAATATCGAGTGATTCGTGGAACAAAGCACGAAGATTATTTAAAGGAACGTGTCGTGTTTTATCGTGTTAAGACACAAAACATGATTTCGTCAGAGCAGGAAGACTGGTGCAACGTCATCGTGTTTTGACGATTTTGCCAGTCAAACACGTCACTCGATCTCAGAGTTAATAGAATTTTATCGTGCATTTAAATTTGATATCTGATGGAAGCTGATATACTGAAGGAAAATTGGAAAGGAACATTTAACAGAAATATTGCTGATTTAATCTCCGCGTTAACTTCTGATCTATTCTCGAGCATGTTTTGTCAGGAACATAAATCACTATTCGTTATCAGGAATGAACGAATCAATAATTGTTAATCCGCGTAAATACCAGTTCGATAAATAATTTCGAAACCTGAAAATTGGTTAATTATCGTTTTCATCGGTTATTATTTACAGGTATCAAGATTCTCTTAATCTTGCCTGGAGATCGATTCATCATACGTTCCGATATATCGATAATTACACCATTGTACTCGATGCATCGAGGATTAACAAGAATTAACTTCTCAAGGACGTACATTAACCACGCTAATTTGATTAAAGAAATTCTAAAGATGCATTCTTGCGTTATCCATAAAAAACATTGAACAAGTAAATTACCGCCATTTTCGATAAACGAAATAAACGACGAGAAATTAGCATCGGATAACGTCACTAAGAGAAAACTCGCGTGACGAGTTAAAAAGTTCGTCTAACCGGACACTTATCGAAGTTAATTATTGCACCCTCGAAAGGCCAGTTATCTTTCAGCGAGAACATCGAGGGGGATAAATACCGAGTCGTTGTCACGTCGTATCCGACAAAGTAGTCAGATTAATTTCTCTTAGCCGGTTCTATTTTTCTACCCGGCGGAATAAAGAGAGAGGAGGCTCTTCTAGTACAAGGGCCCACAGAACTCGACGGTTTTCCACGTCGGTTTCGGATTACGTTGATCCCACGCGGTTCAGATCGTATCTTGATCGTCTTAATCCGACGATCTGACTCGGGCAACGCTTTTTCGCGCTCAACTAGCCCGTCTACCAAGCGTATTGAGTATCCCTAATTAATTCCACGGAAGAAAGGGAACTCGATACGAACCCCTTCGCTACGTTTCTTCGCACAGATTCTGTCAAATAACTTTCCATTTTTCGTCAACTTTCACCGTCACAATATTTAAGTTTTCAAAGGAAATGATTCTCTGAAATACTATTTGTGTTTCGTTGTATTACTTTCGTTAAATAAATTTCTATAATTATTCTACAATATTTGAAGAATCAATGACTGAAATATTAATTTTTCGTTCAGAAAGAAATAAATCATCTCACTAATATTTATTAGCGAAGAAGGTTAGACAAACCGGGTCTAGCTTCGTTAGTTGGAGCTCGATTCGGTCTGTAAATAGCGGTGGAAACGTAACGAGGTATCGCAGGGCTAGTTGGAAGGACAGCTTAGTGATTTATGTCCCTTTAATTGCGTTGCCCCTTTAACACCTTCCAGTCAGAAGCCGGCACGGTTATCTTTTAGCTTTCTGACTCCTCGGAGCCAGGCTACGTACACAAGTCGTTTATTCCTATCGAGAGTGGATTGAATTCGAGAGATTTATGCTGCTCTCGCGTGAAGGATAAATTAAACCGTCGGCCAAAGATTTATTTCAATTGCAAGATGATGCCCGTTGCGAACAACGTTTGATTACGTAACGGACATCATTAAGGCTGTCTAATTATTTCAACGCGTTCGAATAACTGATACGAATGTTATCGCTAGTTGAATTAGCAATACTTCGGAATATCAGGTATTCGCAGAAGCTTCGTCCCTAGATCTTTATATCTTAGATTCCTGAATATTTATAGACCTACATCCCCATATTTCCGTACCCCCTAAATCTCTGTGTTCATAAAACCCCACATTCCTACGCGTAAATATACCTACGAACACGAAAAACACTTTCCTACTTTTCTCGTTTTACGATCTGATTACGTATATAACTGTTGTAAACAGTCCTACTCCCACGCGAGCCACTTAACGTTTTAAAAAATCGAATATCCAGTTGTGTTCATCTCCCAATTAGCATAGATTGGCAAATATTTATAGCGAATTTGGCTTCTGAAATTTCGCGATAACAGATATAAAGATAAACGTACATATGAAGTTTGACTTGTTAGATCGATCGCGAGATTAGTTCAAAGGCGAATGCTATGCAGAGCGCTTGACCGAGCCGTGTAAAAGAAACAATCAAAATCGATACAGTTTACGCTATCCCTACAATTTCCAGGCGCGCCTAGTTTCTGTTTAGAAACGGCATAGCATTTCGTTACCCAGCCTACTCTGGTCAATATACTTTCGAAACTATTTTAATGAACGTAAAACACATCTTCCTATTTATATTTGTGTACTATTGATCATGTAACAAACTAATGATCCACATTTTCAGGCTACCCTTTTCAACTTCCAATACCTTCGAGTGTTAATTCAACTTCGTATCATCTGTTACCGTAAAGCTTTCTTTCTATAGAGTAATTAATACAGCGAATTTCCGGCTATTAATTATTCTCGACAAATACCGCGATGAACACTTGTACCTCGTCACTGCAATCAGCGTGACGATAAGATAGAAAGAGGGGAAAAACAGAGCAAAACCATATACGGTTAGGTTGTGTTTCTTCAAACGTAGAATTCTTTCCATTTGCGGTGAATCGAAGTTGATAATCTCAAGGGAGCGACCGCCATGATCCGATTTTTGCGCAACCTTCGCGATCGCAATTTGCCCAAGTTTGGATACCGGCACACGCGACCGCTATTCGATCGCTATTCCTTCTTAAAATCTACCGCGATTGGTTGGAACGATTGCGCTCGAAAGAACTTGTATACCAACATTCATTCTTTTTTATACTTATTTATCTACAAAGTTAAACTGGCATCTCATTACAGTTTCGATCTACGTGACATAAAAATATAAATTCTTATATCCACTTTTGTAGCTTAAAATTTTATGAAAATGTCTACATATGTCATTTGTTAAGAAATATAAAAAACTAAGCTAAACTTGAAAGCAAGCTTTGATACAATCAAAAGTAAAATGAAAGCGGATCAAACGGTGTGGTTGATGCTTTTTAGTCTAATCGTATTGATCCATTTCGAACGTTAATCAGAAGGGCAAAAAGAAAATGAGGTGACACACAAAATGGAGCACGTAAAAAGGTAGACGTCCCAATGGAGACAGGAGTAAATAAACGTGGTAGCCCGATTCACGTTGTCAAACGAGGGAGATTCAGGTCTAAACCATTAGCTAAATGGCTAATGCACCCTAAACGAAACTGCTATGAATTCTCACGTTCTATTTCTCGAACAATGGGCGCCAGTTGCAACTCGCCATAATGTATGCAGAAATTGACGAAGCCATTTGAAGCTTATCATAATACAAGACTCGATGGGAGACTACTTGATTTTAAATCTTGAAATAGGTTTCATATATAAAATAAAAAATTTCAATTGTCGAGGAATGGAGAGACGAACTCTAACGAAAGAGAACAGAAATATCAAAGTTTAAACTTTAAAGGTTTAGCGCAAGTTTGCCAAAATTTGTTTATACCGATCCTTGAATTTGGTGGATTATCCGAGTAAACTTGCCAGAAGCTCACGGGAGCGACAAGGAGAAGACAAAGAAGCAAAATGCGAACCTCTCCAAATGTTTATCACTATTCCTGGCGCCTGGATCGCAGCAGATGGCCCACGTTGAACGTTATACGCAGAAATCGAACTTAATTCGGTTGCCGATGATTCTCGAAAAGAGAAACGATTCATCTCTTCCTGGAACACGTCGAATTACGTCGATATTACAATACATCCTGGATACAGCAGTACACTCCGATTTTAATTCGGTGATACAAGTTTCGACATAGGTATCCGTTTCCTTGACACTCCGATGTGTATAGCCTTTCGCGAAACACTCGTGCTTTAATTCCATCTCGTTCATTTCTTTTGTTCGCGGTGTCTAAACATCCTCAACGTTCGAGCACAACAAGAGCTCTCTTCTGTCGACGGAAGTCGATCGAGTTTATTGTCTTTGCTGGCAGTTCCGCTCCGTTTTTTCGGACACGTGTCGCGCGCGTGTCACCTCCACGCTCTTGGCTTGTTTAATAGCGATACCGATCAACGTCCGATTTCCTGTCTGAATCCTCTGATGGTTCATCAACTCCTCGGTACATTTGTGCAGAGTTATTATTTGTGAACAAACTTCCTAAACCCTAATTTTAATCAACTAGGGTACTTGGGAATATGTAGGGATGCAAAGGATATTTGTAGCTAAAAAATTTGTACAGGGACTTAAAATTTGGACACCTGCGATTCGACTAATCGATTCGAAAGTCAGACAGGCAGACAGACAGGCTTTCTATCCGTAATCTCGTGCTTTCGAGCCATAAGGAGACGAGAGCAGACGCCCTCGTCAGATCTCTAAATTTAGTCAGACCGACCGTGGCGTTCTGGCTACGGGGAAGAAACGGAATCGACGTCGAAAGAGGGAGAGAGAGAGGAAGAGGACGTAAAGGGAAACGAGAGGATTCCAGATGGAACGTCAAAAGGGACAGTGTCGCGATTCGTTTCTGGCTGATGTCCAAATGGCGACACCTCGCCGCGATCTGGCCGAGAGAGTTCATGAATGGACCGCGTGGAAAACGAGTTTCCTTGCTCGATGCTGGCTGTGATTTTCACGAAAGGGAGAGCCGGAGCCAAGTAATAATCGAAACTCTTCGTTTTGCACGATCAGACCTGACGTGTACACGCTCGTGTTCAAGGTTGAGATGCAATTCAGTCTACCGATGTCGGATCACGATTTTACACGCGTCCTGTTTGTTGAAATTTTAAAGATCGAACGTTACCGTCGTTTATACTCCATTATTCAACCTCTTTGTCTTTCGTCCGCTCTTCATATTTTAATTTTTAATTGTGTATAAACATTATGTATAGCAAATTGAAGAAATATAATCATTTTGAGCAAAAAAAAACGTCTCAATCTTTTATCTTGAACAAAACCTTCCTTTGCTTTTCACAATATTATTTTTACTGAAAGTCTGCGGCAATAAAGAATAAAAGAACGAAAGTCGATAAAGCGTAATATATGATTTGTTTAAAATTAAACAAGTTGAAATTTATTTCCTAATAGACTGTACAATATTGTTTTTCGCGAGCAAGAAAATAACGATCCTCGAATAAAGTTGTTTTGACAACTGGAAGCAATTACGATCGAGGTTTTCTCTGCAAGATTCGCAAGGTTCCTTTCTTAGAATGAGAAGACTGTTTTGCGTAAACGAGCTGGAAATTCGAGGTGGAACATCGAATCGTACGGCACGAGTTGTTCGTTCAATTTCGACAGTGTTTATTGCAACTACGATTCGCGGAAGAATCGAATTAGAAGATGGAAACTGTTGCCAAGCAGAGAACGTTTTCGATTTATCTTCGCAATTTCGGTGTTTAGGAAGCTAAATCATCGTTCTGCGTCAACGTTAAACGACGAGGAAAGAAACATTAATTTTCAGAAATTAACCTTTCTTCGCTTATTTAAAAATTCAACCTTGGACATATAAGAAGCTTTAAAACTATATTTCTGTTGCAGATCTAGAACATCCCGACGTGATGATGGTATCGATCGGTGAGAAGCTGATTCTACGATGTTCGTCGAGCTCGAACGCAGAAACGACCTGGTACAAGGGCGACGAAACCTTCCGGCCGTCGTCGCCTAGAATACGGCTGATGAAGCAGTCCTTGAGATTCAAGTACATCGAACCCGAAGACTCCGGCTCGTACGGTTGTCTGGTCGAATCGAATGGGATGCTCGAATGGAGGAACGTGACGATACGAATCGAGTCGTTACAGAACGATGGCTACCAGCACGAGACCGAGAAGCTTGCCAGCACCCTGGCTGCTCACAAACCCGAGGAGGAGACTAACGAATTGGAACCCGAACCGAGAAGTTAGTACTCTTGCACTAACCTAACCTTTCGCTTCAAGCATCTCACATTACATAAAATGAATAAAATAATCTTCAATAATCCTTAAATACCATGAATCTTAATTTTGTATAAATCTGTTCAGAGTACCCTTAATTAAATACCGCGTACACAAGCAGTTTAATAGATAACACGTAGCAATTGTAATGATCGTAGACTTGCCAGAAACGCGTTCGTTACACTTGGACAGCGAGAACGTGGACAGCGACCTGGACAATGAGAAAAACGAGAACGAAACAGCCGGTGAACACAACAACACCGCTCCCGAACGAGCACCGTCGTTCAACAAGAGCGTGGAAATGCCTAACGTGGTCGTGAAACCAGCCGGAAATATGTTACGTCTGAGATGTCCAAGTTTCGGGAACCCAAGACCGAACATCACCTGGTACAAGAACAACGAGGAACCGAGGAGAACGCTTGGTACCGTGGTGATGACCAAGTGGACCTTCAGACTGGAGGATTTAGTACCTGAAGACAGCGGAAATTATACGTGCGTCGTGTGTAATTATCTGGGATGCATAAACCGCACTTCGAAGGTCGATATTGTCGGTGAGTATCTTACGATTAATTAAATGGTAATCAAACGATTTTTCATTACCTTTGGTTTTATTGAATAAGCCGACGATGAAGCGAGATTTAACGACATTGCCTCCGTGATATCACGGTTTATGATTCCCTAATATATTGAGTCGTTTGAAGTGTAATTTTAATCGTAGCAAATTTAACGATCGATTTGCAAAATCCGTGACACTTTGGTAAAAACAAATGCGTAGAACGTTTCCCTCATAAGCCGTACATCAACGAGGATTTCCCGAAGAACGTAACGGCGGTGGTGAACAGCACGGTGACATTCAAGTGTCCGATCGTGTCTGATCTAGAGCCATACATTCAATGGTTGAAGGTAGTCGAGTACCCGGGTGACCAAGAAAATTCACCGAACGGAATTCTGCTACAGGTACAGAGTGCGGCTTGTCGATGGTGGAGGTTCCTGTGTCTTCTCGAAAAATTAAATCGTCTTTAATCATAGATTAATTATGGAAAACGAAGGCGGACGTTAATATCTAGTGACTAACGATGGTGAAGGAACTTTAATTTCAGATTCCAGCTGGGACATCCTGGTTTCATATTTGTTTAACATCTTTTTAATCTGTTCTTGATAATTCTGTGTCTCTTTCTAATTTCTGTCGGGGGACATCTGGGCTCGAGGTTCAAGGAAAAGACTTCTACTTGATCTTACATGTTCCAAATAAAATAAAAATCTTAATAGAAAAAGAAAACCACTCGTTTTTAGCAACGTTTGTTCTCGAGAACTCAAAGTCTAATTTCGAAGTGAATCTCGGTCTCAAGTGACTCCTTTTCAACTCTACCCTGTAATTCTTGAGCTCGGTAAAGAAGGTGGTTGGGTCTATTTTTTCCTGTAGAGAGCGTGAAACATCGGCCAATACTGACCAGGCCGCCAAGAAACACGACGGTTCTGATAGGAGCCAACGTTACTATGACCTGCGAGGTTCTCTCGGACGCACATCGCCACCTCGAATGGTATCACGGTTATCACACCTCTTTCGACACTGTCAACAAAACCAATCAAAGTTTCCGGGTGGAGGTCAAGGTGGGCACGTAGAAACTTTCAAACTGCACGATATCTCCCGCTTCTGTGTCCTTAACATCTCCTGATCCCCTAACTCGTCTCTGCTTGGTAACCCTTCGTTGTAGAACAACTGCAATTTCTTGTAGACGCAGTCGCTTTTTAAGTATTTCCATGGGAAAGGAATGCTTGATCCGATAGCAGCGTTAACGGTGCTTATTCTCTGTTAAATCTGAGACTAATTTTCTAGATATAACTGTGCTCTTTGTTGTAGGCGGAGGGCACAGAGAATCCTGAAGTACTGAAGTTGTACAACGTGACCGAAAAGGACGAAGGATGGTACACCTGTATCGCGCAGAATGCTTTGGGGGAAACTTTCAGCAGCGCCTATCTTCGAGTTGTCGAATGTAAGTTGCAGATTTTTAGGGCTGCTTCAAAATAATTTTCATAACTGCAACCTCTATAAATTTGTTAATGATCTTGACTGTAGTATTCGAGAAACATTTTAATCTTTCAAATCTTTATTTCAATTTGTCCTAAATTCTTATAACAACTCATAAGAACTTCGTAATATTGCAAAATTTGTTGCCAGCCCGAAAATGTATATGTACGAATTGAAAAGGGTAAAAATTGAATAGAAAATGTATTACAATTAGCTCTGGAAGAACAAGGAATGCCGATAACAGCGAAACCACAGATCCTCGTGAACGTTCTCGCAGCCGTCCTCTTCATTTTCTTCGCCGTAGGCGTGGTGGTTGTAATATATATCTTCCACCGATTAAAGCGCGAAAAGATGAAGAAATTGCTGGCTATCGAGACCGCAAGAGCCGCGGTCGTCACTCAATGGACGAAGAAGGTGATCGTCGAGAAACAGAACCTGGTGAACGCTCAGAACGTTCAAGAACCTCTGCTGATGCCTGTGGTGAAGATCGAGAAACAAAAGTCGACTGTCGCCGCGGAGGACAGCAACGGAGGAAGCATCTCAGAGTACGAACTTCCGGTAGACAGTGCTTGGGAATTGTCCAGGGAGCATCTAATGTTGGGAAATACTTTGGGAGAGGGTGCTTTCGGAAAAGTCGTCAGGGCACAAACGAATACTGGGAAACCTGGAATTCCTAATGTTGTGGCGGTCAAAATGCTGAAAGGTATGTAATGAAGATGGTTCTCATAGGGGGATTTAATTAAAGAATTTTTAATTCCCTTGATTGCATCTTTCGTACTGGAACTTTGAATGTATTGTAATTTCTGTAGCTTCTCTGATATTCAAAGTATTTTCGCAATATGCAATATTGTATGACTCTCTATTAAATAGCAAGAGCCCCCGCCGGGATTTGAACTCGGAGAAGTAGGCGGACATTACGCCAACATCGTCCGTCAATATCCTTCGTTTGCAAGACTACTCAAAGTCCTAATATCCTTCGACACAATATTTCTCATACACGAGTTTGAAAGCACATCCACCTAAATAGTATATTAAGAATAAAATAAAAAGTACGATGCAGCAATAATACAATAGAAAATTTACAGAAGTAATACAATACCTAAGCAAAATTTCTAAAAAAAATACCTCATTCCCATCTTCGAAAATTTGTCGCAGAGGGTCACACGGACGCAGAGATGATGGACTTGGTCTCCGAAATGGAGATGATGAAGATGATCGGCAAGCACGTGAACATCATCAACCTGCTAGGCGCGTGTACGCAAGGAGGACCGTTATACGTTGTCGTGGAATTCGCGCCACACGGTAACCTGCGAGATTTCCTTCGAGATCACAGACCGTCTTCAGGGTACGAGCCAACGATCGGACAAGAGCCGAAGGAAAAGAAAACGCTCACTCAAAAGGATTTGGTGTCGTTCGCGTATCAAGTGGCCAGGGGTATGGAGTATCTGGCTAGCCGAAGATGTATCCACAGGGATCTGGCTGCCAGGAATGTCCTGGTCAGCGACGAATACGTACTGAAGATCGCTGACTTTGGACTCGCCAGGGATATCCATTGCCACGATTATTACAGGAAAACCACAGATGGCCGACTTCCGGTCAAATGGATGGCGCCTGAAGCTTTGTTTCATCGGGTCTACACCACTCAGTCCGACGTGTGAGTAAATCTTGATCGAAATGGTCGTAATTGCGGTTGGGGTTATTAGTCAACTTAACTGTGTCTTAAAGTGGTTTTACGAGGTTTGTTTAGGACAAATGGGATTTTAATCGTTTCGGTAGAAATAGATTACAAGCCTACATTTGATAGGGTTGTAAGGACTACTAAATATTTGATGCGATGAAATTTTGGTAGTAACGAATTCTTGAGAAAATATTTAATATTTCAGATGGTCGTACGGAATTCTGTTGTGGGAGATCATGACACTGGGTGGCACTCCTTATCCGTCCGTACCGTCCGTGGAAAAATTGTTCCAGTTACTGAGAACTGGACATCGAATGGAGAAGCCACCGTGTTGTTCCATCGAAATGTAAGAATTTATGCAATTTGTGAAATTTTCAAGATAACCATTATGATCGGCACGTTACAAGCGAACACGATTTGATTCTTCCAGATACATGTTGATGAGAGACTGCTGGAGCTATCAGCCTAACGAAAGGCCAATGTTCGGTGAACTGGTCGAAGATCTCGATAGGATATTGACGATAACTGCGAACGAGGTAAGAATTGAACGTTGGCTGTATTGAGATTTAATATGGATAACGATAATTGAGATTCAAAGATTAACGTGAAATCGCTTGGCAACTTTTCGCACTTGTTTTCTTGCTCAAGTCAGATAATTTGATTTCAGGAATATTTGGACCTTGGTCTTCCGCAATTAGATACACCACCCTCCAGTCAGGAGTCCAGCGACGCGGACGACGACGAGGGTGAAGAAAAATTTCCATACCTGCTATGAACTCGTCGAAACGAGAAGCGAAAATAAAAAGAAAGAATACCAAACTGTAAAAACTGAAGAACAACGATGAATTAAGGAAAAAGCACTGAGGTATGGAAGTCGATCGACTGACCTAACGAACACGCCAAATAATATAAATCAGTATTGACCTGTTAGCGCGTATCCTGTAGTGTTAAGGAAGACGAAAAGAATGATTATCAAACGAAACAACAAGAAACTCGAGGCCTTCGAGGAGACTGATTTTCATACGGAGAACACTGTATTTATTTTCCCATTATCCTGTAGAATCCTGATCTTCGAAACGTTGGAACATCGTGGAATATTTCACGGATATCCGTTCGATCGAGCATATTTATTGAACACTTTCGGTGCATCGACGAGTAACGGTGGTTCTCTAACCCAAAGCGTTTCAACGTCCAAGAATTTTGTACATGTTATTACCGTGCCATTAACAAGTGCCTTGGGAACAGCCGTAACTAGGCAAGGGGACGTGTGGCCATATATCGCGTGACTATACAACGCGTACAAAAAGTGACAAAAACAATGCGTGGCGATTTGACGCGCAAGAAAATATGACGCGTGGTAATGTAATACGTGATAAATACAACGTGTGATAATTGGATGCGTGGCGATATAACGCGTGGCAAAGTAAAATTGATCCCCTTGCGAAGAGAAATTCTAGTTACGCCAATGGAAGAATTGGAGCATCCAGTTCCAGTCAGGGCTTTTGTTACCCAAAGGATAGAGGAAAGAGGGAAGAGATAATTTACACAGGAAATCGATTTATCTCGATGCGAAACGTGTTTATAACTAGTCAATTGATACAGTTTTACGTTTCTCTGTAACATAGTAGTAAACGATAAATACATATACGTGTAGCGTTAAGTGTTTTTACATACGTGAAATGGACACTCAATTTTCGCGTATTTTCTAGGATTTTTATGTTTACGGGAGATGAATCGCGTTTGTACAAATTTTAAATTTGAAAATTTCAATGAAATTTTGCACAGAAAATCGTGTCGAAAATACTTTTGTAATTTTATAGCGTGAATTGCGCGGATTCTGCGATTTACAAAACTTCTGCAAGCATAATCGTCCAAGTCCGATGTACACAAAAAAATGTGAAAGATGTATAAATGATGCATGCGAGAGGCGATGTTTAGTCGTAGATAATTTATTTCTTGTATATTGTTACTTAGGGCCTGTATAGGGTTTCTTTCTCCGTTTTCTCTTTATTCCTTTTCTTTTTTTGTATCACGCGAAGAATGTACGTGTAAAATAAAATAACAAAATCGACACACACCGCGTTGAGTATATAAACGAGAGTATATAAACGTGCGTCCGTACAGTCGGAAACTTTGTATATAGCGGCGATAACTGTTTATTTAAAAGAAAGAAGCGTTTCTCTTGTTACCCGACACACCTAAAGGTAGCCAGTAAATCAGCATTTACCAAGGTAGGATCGTATTGTATAGTCTGTGCAGATATTCGATTATTATTGTAACGTGAATTTCGTCTAGAATAAATCACTGGAAACTGTACCCACATTACTCCGAATCTACTTATTGCCACTTCAAATTTACAAACATTCAAATTTTTAAATAACAAAATTCCTAACTTTTAACATCCCCGAAGATTTCCATATGCTACTCGCTCATACTTTGTGCGTAACACTATTGATAAAGCTGGAGAATCTAAGCTACGCAAAATAAAAATTCTGGTCGCGTCAATGAACCTAAAAGAGATAATTGACTTAATAAGGTGATTAGACAAATTGGTTTGCCTAAGCGTCGTGATTGATTAAGAGCATATCGAATCCCCTCCATTCGACGAAACCGCGTGTCCAGAGAAAAGTTAACTATGGAGAGACCGATGGCGCTGCGATCAGTTCGTTTTGTTGTCATCAGCCACATTTATGCTAAGTTGTTTTTACCAGATTTTTAGTGGAACATTTTAGTTTGTATTCTTCCATTTAGCTTCGATTTCATGACCAAAGATGCCAAGGATGGTACCGACCATTTTCTCGAAATTTCCTAACGAATAGATCGAGTGAAAGTTGCCGTTGTGTCCTACACTCGACATTGAGGTTAGAATCCGATAACCCACTTTTTCTGGAGCAACGAATTTGTTTCTTCACGCTAGTCGTTCATCAATGAATTATGTTTCCTTCCTGATCGAGAAACGAACGCATCGGACCGTGTGACAGTCGTAATCGGTTTTGATAAATTCAATTTCTACCGAGAGTTCAGTTTGTTTGCAACAATGTCTTTTGTGGAGCATTCTGTCAAACTTGCATGATCACTTTTGCAAATAAAAAAGTTGCACACTGTCGTGTATGCTGAGAATCTTTGACATACAATGATCTTGACACTATTCGATGATACTCATAATGATAATTATGTGATATCGCAGGTAGCGACATTTATTAAATGGTGATTACCAGTGTCATGGAGAGGAGAATCAAATTGAAAACATTAAACAGTCATATAACGTGCAAGATATGCAGAGGATACTTGATAGATGCCACCACTGTTACGGAATGTTTGCACACGTTTTGCAAAAGTTGTTTAGTCAAACATTTAGAAGAAAAGCACACCTGTCCAACATGTCAAATAGTTATACACCAGTCGCATCCCCTTCAATATATAAGTTTCGACAGAACTATGCAAGATATCGTCTACAAATTAGTTCCTGATCTTCAAGAAAGTTAGTAATTTCATTGTGAAGAAAAGTAACCGATACACGATTAATTTTATCATCAAACTTGTCTTGTTTCAGATGAAATTAAAAGAGAAAGAGAATTTTATAGAGCAAGAGGTTTACCTTGCCCCAAAGATGTCCTACCTAACGCAGGAGAAGTTGAAGAAGAAAAAGCAAATACGGATGCGCACGCGGAATCGGACTACCATCGCGCGGATGAACAGGTAAGTATACTTCAAAAAATCGGATACGTTAAGTTCCCTATGATATTAACCGACAAATATTTTCGAAGGTTAACGTGTGTTTGGAATGTATGAACACGAGCCTGAAGACTTTAAAGCGAAGATTTATCAGATGCTCTGCTCAGGCGACTATCACACATTTGAAAAAGTTTATCGCGAAAAAGGTGTTAAATGGAATGGAGAAATATCGGGATGTAAGTATAAAGCGTACCATATCTAAAGACGAAGATTAATCGATTTACTCGTTGCAGATTGATATTTTGTGCAATGACGAACTGTTAGGTAAGGACCACACGTTAAAATTTGTTTACGTGACAAGATGGAGGTTCCGGGACCCACCCTTAAGGCTACAGTATAGACCACGAATAGACATTTAAGACTAATATTTTTGTGTTCAATATCCGATGGAAATCGCAACAAATCTGTACCTTTATACGTTTCGTAGTTCTATCCGTGTATTATCCGTCTTAGTACTTATTTCTGTAATCCTGCACAGTAAGAATTCGAGATTGAATTTCCATACGGAGATGATTCGCATCTTTCTACCGTATTAACTTAATCAGAATACCGATAGTCGTTAGCAACATGTTTTTAAAAGTAGAAGTTCCATTGTCTTAGATTTCATTTACTTCGTAATATTACATTGAGTTACATTAACTCGGTTATTTAAGTTTTATCTCATTAGGTCTGTTTAAGATACATTTGTAAGTAGACCAATACCATGCGAAATTGTACACGGGAAGATGAAAACGGTTGTTTTTGTTCGCAATCTTGCAGAGTTGTATATCTAAATATTTAGTTCAAATGTTACGTGTCGTGACTATGACACGGCACACTTTACGTGTTCTTCTGTAGTTTTTCTATGAATGCTTGGACATTCTATGTTCTGAGATACAAAAATGACGGACAATGTCTGTCGAGCTGAAGATTTGTTACTTTTCCGTGCACGATAAACGGAACAATTCTTCATAATCTTAAGAGGTGACTTTCTTTTTATACGTACCCTAATTGTATATAGAATATTTTTTGACAGAATTCTGATAATATTGCGCGTAGACGCAGCTTTGTATTAGAAAAAGGAAGAAGATGAAGAAGAAGAAGAGAAACGAAGCTGGTACCGGACGGGACAGTTCGGGGCCCCTTTAACTTTGTATGTTTATGCGCTGTACACATTCTAACTCAGCCCCGAGTTTCTCTCAATGCCGAACAATAACAGAATTTTATCAGATGTGACATATTTTCTCGAGAGATTTGATAAGAACAACGACGCGTTAAGCGAAACACGGGGCACCTTAATCGCTTGTAGTAAATGAAATTTAAACGGACAGTGTAAAGTAAAAAAACCGTGTGATTGTATATAAATATTCTAGGGAAAAGAAATGAAATGAAATCGACTTTATAAAGTAGCGGCATTTTATGAATGCTAGGGCTTGTATGTTGTACACTATGTGTGTATCTTCATAAATTATTAAATAAATATGTTTTGTACAGTACCAGACTAATTAATATGCAAAAATAATAGTACCAAACATTACGAGTTCAAACGAATCTAAATGCAACAACCGTTTGAAAATTTTGCGCATGCGCAGATGTCAAATTGGTTTTTGAAATAAAAGTTGGCGCATGCGCAGATATCGAATAGGTTAAACAAGTCAACGCATGCGCGATGCATTCTGAAATAGTTTGTGGTCAATGCGCGTGAAGTAGAGACTGTTGCTGTTCAGTAGCATGACGAATGCGGTTCGAGTGAATAATTTTTCAATGCATTTCATTTTGATTTTCCATCATTTTTTCTGTATGTGTTTTAAGTGCAGTTTCCCAAATAAATGAGCCTGCAGGATAGTCTCTTCTCGGAAGACGTGGAGCACGACGTGACTCTATTTTCAAGGGACAAGAGACGGAAAAGGTAGGAGCCAAACGATCACGTTTCCTGATGCAACGACGCGCCTTTAAAGGTTAGATCGGTAGTTTTTTTGCTGTTTGTGTTCGATCATTGTTCTAGACTTTCGATTTCTATCAGTGTTTACTCTGGTGAATCGTTTAGCTTTCTCCACAAAAAGTCATTGATCTTGAGACTTCAAATATACTATCTGATGTCTGTCATTCGCGTAGAAAGAAAAATAGAATAACACGCATAGTAAATAGCATTGATTTAAAAAGACAATTTATTATATCGATTTTATCAAGTATTACGTGGCATGGTTGAGTTACGTTAAATTTATCCGCATCCTTGACATGTAATTGTATCGGAATTCGAAGACAATTAAAGTAAGCCCTTAAGATCTCGAAGAAGATATACAAGGATATCGTCCAATTCTTACAAGGCACATACTAGATTATAGTTCTTTTACGAATCCCGTGTTACGGTTTATAAATATCTTGTGCCAAAGGTAAATGGCTGATATCGTTCTCCAGACTACGTAGCCGCTACTACGTAAGCATATCTTTAGCAGTTCCGTTACATTAGTAAATTCCACATTTTTCTTTGCATTACCCGCGTATTTCAAACCACCGACGTGTTTTCCCCAAACATGTCTATTTTTAACAAATCGCTTAGAGTTTTGAGGAACATAAAAGAACCACGAATGATTGGCATGTTGCCGAATGAAAATAAGATACATGTCACGAGTCGATGATTTTTATTTTATTATTTAATCACTGCAGTAACCTTAATTCAGTTATCGGTCATCTTTGCACTTTGTACAAGTGTAGTGATAAAAAGGTGACGGTTTTAAAACCGCGGATATTAGTTAAATAGCCCTTTATAACCCACGGAAATTGTATCCGCTGTTAGATAATAAAGGAAAATTTATGTGAAACGCATTATCTTCATTCGACAACGAAAATAATGGTTTGAGGTTAACTATCAATGAAAATATTACATAAGAACACCATGATACTTGTAATACCATTAAATATGCAATTATTCTAGTACCTGCATTTAAAGTAGCGGTCAAATCGAATCGAACCTCATGAAGTCGAATTAGAGTCGGGACGAATTGCGTCGAGTCAAATCGAATAAAATTGAAGTCAATCGTAAGTCGTATCGCACCGAATTGAAGCGTATGGAATGAATCGCGTTGCATGGAATCGAATTAAAACCGAAATGTGCGCAGTGTTGCATAATCGTCGAAATCATGCGTAAAAAAGAAGGCGGGTGATTTTGAATAGCCCTCAGCTGAATGTCAATCTACCGAAAGCAAGTAGCGTATGTTGCTCACGTATACGCACGATTACGTGAACTACGCAACGCTTACGAGATTCAACAGTCTGTTTCTTCTTTGTAGTTCAAGGCTCGTCGATTTGGTCGTGGCAGTAATTAACGGATCGAAGCTACGATACGCTACTAGTTAGGGAACAGGATTGCTGAGATACACGGTTGTTTTGTTCGACGATTAGGTTTCTTTTCGCCGTAGTTTGCACAGATGGAAGCACGCGTAGCTGCGCGATCTTGCCGCGCTGCACGTTTCGTTCCACCTGAATGGATGGCACGTAATTTAACAATCTGTAAACGCGAAAACCATATCTCGCTTTCATCATTTTCTACGATCGCAGTCTACTCGCCGTATCAGCTTGCGTACGCTTCCTGTTCCTCCTGTTATTACGATAAAATCTGAATACTTTCTAAAAGCGTTGTACGCGTCCGGTTACGTCGTTATCCTATGCACATAAGTATAATAAATTCTGCCATATACGTTTTGTGCCGGTCGAACGTAATAGGCCGGTTTCCAATGCTCGAACGATTATGCGATGAAACGTTGTAACAAGGTCGTAAGACTGCTTGGAATGTGATCGAATCGCGGTGGGGTTACGAGTGCAAGGATGACTCTAATTTGAGGAAACCAACGAAGGAGAAAGTGAACGTTATGTAAAAGTTAAGCCGGCGTTTCATGGTGTTCATCTGACGGGATACGGTGGAGTGGCTCGTGGCGCTTGTTACGTTCACCCGACGTCCGTCTTTAGTTCGGACTCGCTTTCAGCCACGGTCGTAACGTGTTCTTTTCATTTTTACAGGGTTCTCATCTTTCCACCTGTAAACAACTATCGGAGGTACATCATACATCAACTGGTGCAAGATCGATTCATCGATCTGTACACCTTCTCGATCGGACAGGGTTCCGCGAGGAGAATCGTCGTGTGTTATAAGAGTGACGTGATAAGGTATCAGTGTTGTATTCCTGCGAACCTTGAGTCAATACTTGTTATTCGAACCGTACATCGATTATTGGTTTATTGATTTTCTATACATCAATACTCTTCCGATAGAACGCGTGACGGCTTTTCATTGTCGCTCATTACTTTTCTTGCAAATTGAATTATGCATTTGTTTTAGTGTTACAGTGTTACTATTACACTATCAATCATACATTACCATTACTCGATTATACCACTATATAAAAGTAACACAAAATTATGAATAAATAATTAGTCGTTACGAAAGTAGAACGAGGTATCAATTGGATCAGATTCTCGTGAAATTAGCAGACAGGTCTAACATGATTACGAAATAGGTTTACAAGACTGGAATACTTACGACGTAGCGGAGGCAAACGAAAGTGAAACTGACCGGCTCAAGGTCGACTCATTGTGTCGACCGAATATATCGGAAAGTTATTTTATTTGATACGGAGAAGTTGAAACGGTTGTTTTTTTTAACGTTTCAGGGATCCCAAACTGAATGGTGTGCAGCATAAGTCAAGCTGTGCGACGAAGGATAGCGACAAGTTGCTCGACATGGACGTCGAAGGACGTCGATCGCCGTCCGCTTCGCCAGAACGTGTACGAGTTCAAAGACAAGGTGATTAAGAGAAAGCTGGAAAAATTGTGTGAAAATACGTAAAATCGTTGAATAATTATTTTTAGCCAAGTCGACACCAACGGTGGAAATCTATAGACCACCAGCGGCCAGGAGGGCCAAAAATGGACTTCAATCAAACGTGGACCAAGTTCAAGCACATCCTACCGATTCACCGTCTTTAAAGTAATTTTGCATGTTTGCAGAAACGTAGTTGGAACCTCTAGTCCAGAATAGAATTTCTAGTTAAAAACCATATTCACAATTTTACATTAATAAGGTTATAATTTTGAACAGAACAATTCGCAAGAGAAGACCAGATCGCGCGGTTTACGTCCCAAGGCATCGTAGAAGTTCAGAAACGGAAGGAAGCCCCCAATCCGTGGAAGCCGTTCGTGTAAATCGCACGGTTAAGAACGGTTTGCCTTCATCCTCCCTGTCTCATGAACAATCAAAAGTAAGCCTAAGTCTGAAGGAAGTAGATTCCGATGTCCAACAAAGTGCAGAGTGTACGGAGAAGGGATCAAACGTGTGTTCTGAAAAAACTCAATCTAACTTGGAACACGAAGATAGTCAGTGTCTTCAGGAAGAATCGAAGGATACGGTATCTATCGCTGCGTCTGAAGAATCTAACGTCGAAGAGAAAAGTGAACAATCGGGTAACTTAACGGATAATGTGCCAAACGAGACAAATAATTTTAGTACCGACAATGTAAAGTGCGAAACGATAGATACAGTTCAGTCGCAAACAGTCGAGGAACAAGATGTACCTAGTAATCCTAGTGAAAATAAAAGTAGTTTAGATTCAGTTGAAACGTGTATATATACCGAAGAGATTAATATTAACGAGGAAGTACATCGATCTGATGAATACAAAGATAATATTACCGCGAATAATGCGACTTCGAATAACAATATGAAAAACATAAAACATTTAAACAAAGATGAGATAACGAATAAGAAGAATGCACAAATGTCACCACGTACTATGGTTTCGGACGTGCTAATCATTTCGAACGCTGCGCAAAAAGAACCGCCAATTGTTAAAAAGACTACTCCTGTTCCTAATATACCACCGGAAAAAAAAGTGAAAAAAGTTGTGAGACATAAGAGTAAACCAGCACCACCGCCATCTCCGCCCATTAAAAAGATTAACAGGGACGAATGTGACTGGGATAGCTTATTTGACGACAATGGTGACTGCTTGGATCCGACGCTCATAGAAGAGGCAAGCGTTTAGAAGATCATTATTTTATACTGTAACACGTCAAATTAGTGTAACGTTTAATATTGATGCATCGTTTTTAGTTGACCTCTGCAGTTGGCGATGTGATGATCGAACAACCCAAGAACGATTACAAGGCGTACACCAAACACATCGAAGTTTCTAGTGACGAATTTGCTCACGTTGTTGAAATATATAATTTCCCATCAGAATTTAAGACGAGCGATTTAGCCGCTGTCTTTAGTCCCTTTAAGAATGGGGGTTTCGAACTGAAATGGGTGGATGATACCCATTGCTTGGGAATATTTAGTAGTCCTCTTGTTGGTAATTAGAAATGAATTGATTTTGTACTAACTGTTGCCACGAATAGATACTTACGCTTATTTACTTATTTAGCTGCCGAGGTATTGGCATCTGACCATCCATTCGTTAAAACGAGACCGCTCAGCGAGGCCACTGCCTTGAGTAGAACAAAAGCGAAAAGAAGCGCAGAATTCTTACAACCTTACAGAAGTCGTCCAGAAACTTGCGCTGCGTTAGCTAGACGTTTAGTTACAGGTGCTTTAGGAGTGAAACTAGCCACTGCTAGGCAAGAACGCGAACGTGAAAAAAATATATTGCGGGAAGCGAAAGGTAAATATTATTTAATGTGCACTCGGGTGCAACTTAGGTTTCCCTTCGTAAAGAGAAAGTGTATTCTCCACATAGTAGAGTTTTCCCTAATCTGGAAAAGCGTATGTTGCACTCAAATGTAGATGTAAATGTACGTATAATAATATTTTTTGTGAATTTTGCAGAGAAACGTAGGTTAGCCAATAAACAACGAGAAGATGCCTGGGAAGGTATAATTCCCGAGAAGTAGCATCGTTTGTTGGTAATGTGATACTTGAATATTACTTACATATGTAAGTGTTTCAAGACATTTACATGCATTTTGTGTCTTGCTCATCTATTCTCATCATTGACGAATTCGTTTTGTCGAACTGATATGGCGATTGGTTTTGGGAACACGGGATAACTAGCCGATAGATGAGTGTGACATGACGAAACACCGGGTAACGGATGTGTATTCGCTTTGAACTGGAACATGAGTTTCCAACGCTTGTTTATTTTCTACATATATATATATATATATGCATATCATAATGTTCAGACCAGTTAAAAAACGAACGTGCCTGTTGCATTATTTTTTAATGAAAGGGTATTAAGTATTTTAAGTAAAACACTGTAGAACGGGGCAATTTTTACAGCCCTAAATATTAGGAAGCTATGAAACGTAGAAATGTTTTATGATACATGGTTATTCTTACCTCGACAGTTGCCTCTGTTAGAAATTTATATATGACGATAAAACAATGCTGTGTTGTGCAATGATAATACGAGACAATAAGTTAGAATAGTAGAAAATGAAGATATATTCCTTTACACACGAATGCATCAAGTGTGCGTGCACATACATCGATTTGCAAGCAGTGATATGTAATCAAAAAGTGTCTTCACAGAGTTATGATTTTCACGATGATAAAACTATACTGAAATACAACGTGGTATATTGCTATATGCAACGTAAAAAAATTGCGTATACAAATTATATCGCTTGTATAGATATATACACGTACGTATATAAATCTGTTAAATGTTAAAAATCTGACGCACAATCATAATCTATCTACACATATTACAGACTTATTAAATGAGAAAAACAGAAAGCTTAAGACAGATTGTATTTTTATATACAATTGTTACCAACAGAGGAATAAAAGTATGTAGCGCCAAATCCTAGTCAATGTACACAAGAAAACATGTTACCTATATTGTATATTATATTAATGAATTTTGTCAAAAACTGACAAATGAATTTGAAAAAAAAAAGAAAAAACGAAGAATAAAAAATATTTTATGTACCATATTTTCCTTCATATATTTTCATTACTCTTGAAATCCAGTTATATCTTAATCTAATAATAAATTCGGAAACTTAAACTTTATATCTAATTGCACAAACTGATGTATATTATGTTTCTTTAAAAATGGCAGTATCGTGTACATTACATATGCACATGTACAATGGTAAAAAGTATTATGTATAACTGGAAAAGTTCCCTGATCCTTTAAACTTCATATCTCATGATTATCGATCGATATAGCACTATGAACTATACTATATTTCATAAATAATAATTCAACGAAATGCAACGTGATTCCATTACCACTTTCCTCCTTTCTTTTTCTTCTTCTGTTGAACTTTGCGTTGTTGTTGTCGAGGTCCAGAGGTTTCCACCGCCGGACTATGTCGCGGATTAGGAGAAGGTTTAGTGTTCGTAGGCATTTTAGTGATGTCACTGTAAAAGATTCAAATTAGTATGACAATTCCAAAGTTCGTATCTTCAGTTTTAAATACATACTAAAGATCGCTAGCCCCTGCTGCAGCACCCTGGGTGCCCTTCATAGCGACATCACGATTCCGTCTATCCCGTTTTTTCCTGAATCCGCTACGCTCATGTCTAGGTAACCATCGTTCAGGATCAGGTGGAATATTTGGATCATAATTTTTAGGCAACTTTCCTTTGCGTTTACGCTTCTTGCGTTTCTTCTGGGTTATGTCAATAGTAGGTTTGCTATACCACATAATTATCGATCATTAGCAAATGAATGAAACCTTGACTAAATGACTTGTAAGAAAATGAACTTACCCAGGAGATGGTTCTATCTTCTTCTTAATCACTTTGGTTCCAATTATCCAATTACTGTTCTCTAAAGCATCGACATCGGTTGTTTCGGAGAGATCGTGGAGGGGTGGTAGACGCTTAGATAGGAGTTGTGCTTTTTCAGGAGAAAATTGCACGTATGCTACTACTAGCTGTGCTAATGTTTTGGTATCGGAAGGCGATGCATCTACCATTTCTTGTAAAATGTCAGCTGCCACCTTAAGTTCTCCTGCGCGTAGGTAGAAATCGGCGGCCTGCCGCCACAACTCTCCCAAATTAGCAGTAGTTTCCTAATAGTAATTATAAAATAGAAAGTAGTAATATCAGAACAATAAAAAGTGGATAGAAGTAGAAATTCTTACTTTATTCTTTTTGTAGTAATTTACTGCACTCTTAAGTGCAGCTGACGCTTTCTCACGATTATTGTTAGCCATGTGAAGAGTTACGAGTGCACTGACTATACCAGGTAATGATCTGTCTCTTTCGTTCAAATTTTCGAGAATGCTAATCGCCTCTTCCCTTTCATCCTGACTTAACAATAGTTGCACGCAGACTAGTTTCATCTGTAGCTCTTTTTCTCCAACGGCATATGGCGCTAATAATTTCACTGCTTCTTTTGCTTTACCCTCTTTAGCAAGTTGCACTCCTTTTACAAACATTGCATCTGCAGCTAGTGCAGGATGATCCTTGGCAAGTTTATTGCAAAGTTGTTGACATTGTTCAGCCTGTAAATATAAAGATACATGCCGTAAAATATGAACTGTAACAATGATATACTGATAATTAAATTTATACCTGATCAGTATATAAAGCTAATAGACACTGATTGTATGCAATGTTCCTTCTTTGTCTGAAAGTTAACTTATGTTCTAAGCTATCATGAGTAGCACTCTTCATCCTTTTCTTACTATCAAATACATTCTGATCTTTATTCAGGCACACAAGGTTATTGCTTGCAACTGCTACTAGAGCTATATCATCTGGTTTTGCTTTTAATGCAGAAGTATACAATGCTTGGGCTTCTTTCTCACGGCCTTGCAGTTGTAAACAGCATCCAAGCTGAACTCTGATAATCCCTAATTCATCTTCTATTTCTTCCTCTGCAACTCCATCCTCTTCCAAACCTTCTTTGCACATTTTCTCGGCTACCCTAAGCTTTTTTTCTGCTTCAACCAAGGTAGCCTTATCTCCTTTGTTACCTTGTGCTATTAAACGGCATGCTGCATTGTATGTTAACTCATATGTATCTTCACGCAACACAGGAACTTCTAAATTCTGTTAAAATAATAGATGATGGATAACTATTGAACTGGATTTATATATCTGCTTACTGAACACTTACAGAACCCTCAATTGCTAAATTTACAATGACTGCTGCAAGATTTGCTTCTCTTTCATCTTCATACTCATCATGAGAATTTTTTATGATATCTCTGTATACAGAAAAACATTCTTCATACTTCTCAAGGCGGTACAGTATTTGAGCTTTGAGTTCTTTAAGCTTCAATGAAGGGTTTGAAACATTTTCTACCACCTTCAAAGCTTCTGGCACTTGATTCAGTCGGTACAAACAGTATGCTTTTTCAAAATCTAAGTTACTAAAACAAAAAGCATTTACTAACTTTACAGGCTCTTAAAAGTATACCAGTATGCATTATCATATCATATGGTCATTGTACCCTGACACTTTGGGATTCTTAGTAATAAACTGGAGAGCATCATTGAATTTGGACAACTGAATATAGCAAATAATTTTACAGTGAAATGCAGCTTCCTCATCTTGAGAAATACCTAAAACTAAAATAATTATTGCAAAACACATATTCCTTTTAAGGTTATGTTTACAATAAATATGTACGTAGCAGTGCAATTTGTTACCCAAAATAAACTTACTTCTATTCGCAACTTTTATAGCCCTCTCGTATTCTCCATTCTGACCCAATTTATTTAATTCCGAATAAAGAGCAGGAAGATTGCTCTCTTTCGTGGCCATTTTGCTAACTGTGTGTGACCATGTCCAACGTGGAAGTTGGAACCGGTGAGCGTTGATTCCACTCGTGGTAGAACCACGTACATTTCAATAGGTTTTTTGTAAATCGATAATAAGAAAACAAAGTTTCGTGAGATGATAAATCTATTCTTTGTAATTATCTAAGTATATATGTCTAATACAGCAATCGGTAAATGAGAGCATTTCCTCAAAATGCTCACTTTTAAAAGTAAGCTGGTTCATTTAACACAAAAAGCTGTATTTCGAAAAATTGACATTTCCATGTTTTTTAAAATTTATATTAATGCATGTTGCGCGTGGGAAAGTATCTCTGGCTTCATCTAGCGGTCAACGACGACAATGGTAAAATGGAAAATTTCATATTTTTTTTATGATTAAGAACTTTTCCTATCTAAACGGAAAATTAAAAACTGTTTTATGGACCTAAGAACGTAATGAAAAGTGCATATGAGTGCCCATTAACCGAGAAAATTAATAATAATTAAAGCCTAATTAGAAAATAGTACATGTGGCGCCATCTCTCCGGCGAACAGGGTGAACTACACCTAAAAAATGAGGGTCCGAACACAAATATAAGAAAAATAAAAAAATGAATATTTCGGCACTTTGACGACGAAGTATGGTTCCTGAGGCATTTAGAAACAAATTTCTATTAGGGTTTGATGCGTTTTGATGCCTAATAAAGCCAGAAAATCAATTTTTGTCGAATTCGGTCGAAAACGGTACAGGTGGCGCCATCTAGCGGCGAGCGGCGGAACTACGAAAAACTAAAATTTCGATTTTCTCGAAAACTAAGGACTTTTCCGCAATTCTGAGAAATACAAATTGTTCCTTGTTGCCTACGGAATCGAACGAATACAATTATAGCCTGCTAGGACCATTATTAAAGAAAATAGAAAAATAGCCCATTTTATGGACTAAAAAATTGGCGTCCATCTAGCGGTGAAAGTTGGAACTAGAAAAATAGAAAATTTCGATTTTCTTGAAAACTAGCGAATTTTAAGTACTTCTGCGGCTCAGAAAGTCTTATGTGATCGCATTAGAACGAAAATAAAGAAATAAAAATTTCCTCGAAGCTTTAATAAAGAAAATTGCGAAAATTAAAAAAAGGTTATTTTATGGGAAAAAATACAGCGCCATCTGTCGCGGCGAAGCAGCGAACTAAACTGAAAAAACGTATGTCCGAACACGCATAATGGGGTCAAATAAAAATTGATTTTCTGGGCTTAATAGCCAAAAAAATGAATAACTTATTCAACAAAAATTGCTTGAAAATGTCTAAAAAAGCATACTATGTTGTCAAAGTTGCGAAATATTACTTTTTATATTTTTCCTTAACGCGTGTTCGGACATACGTTTTTTCAGTTTAGTTCGCTGCTTCGCCGCTAGATGGCGCCACAAATTTTCTCCACAAAATGACATTTTTTCAATTTTCTTTATTAAAGCTTCGAGGAAATTTTTATTACTTTATTTTCGTTCTAATGCGATCACATAAGACTTTCTGAGCCGCAGAAGTACTTAAAATTCGCTAGTTTTCAAGAAAATCGAAATTTTCTATTTTTCTAGTTCCAACTTTCACCGCTAGATGGACGCCAATTTTTTAGTCCATAAAATGGGCTATTTTTCTATTTTCTTTAATAATGCTCCTAGCAGGCCATAGTTATATTCGTTCAATTCCGTAGGCAACAAGGAACAATTTGTATATCTCAGAATTTCGGAAAAGTCCCTAGTTTTCGAGAAAATCGGAATTTTAGTTTTTCGTAGTTCCGCCGCTCACCGCTAGATGGCGCCACCTGTACCGTTTTCGACCGAATTCGACAAAAATTGATTTTCTGGCTTTATTAGGCATCAAAACGCATCAAACCCTAATAGAAATTTGTTTCTAAATGCCTCAGGAACCATACTACGTCGTCAAAGTGCCAAAATATTGCACTTTGCGTGCGCAGTAGAATTGACATAGGCGACTCAAGCACGTATCGCAATGCTGACACAAAATAATTAATTACTTATTTCCCGAACACTATTTACGAACTTTTATGATCGAACCATGTAAATAATGCATTGCTGACCATTCTTCAATCATGAAAGTGCACAAAATATATCCACAAAACGTGTAATTAATTATTCAAAGTGACCTATAATCATTTAACATAAAACTGTTGGCATTCGATGTATGCTAAAATTAAGAGTAAAATAGGAAACTGAATAAATGAGACACGGAATACGAAGTAGCATGAACAATTCTTTTTTATTTTTACCAAAATAAATCATTTCATCATTCTTGATAATTCACTTTTGAACATAAACGAATATTTACATAACTAGTAGCTTATTGAACCTTGTCTACAAACTACTCATAGAGAGTGATTAATACGTTTAAAAGATTATACGAATATATGAATTTCAACGTCGAGATCTAAGGAGTGAGCTCTTGAATGGCGATGCTCCTTATGACACACTTCACAAACTCCGCTGCCTTCTTGCACCCGTTTTCCTCATCTAAAACATTATTTAATTTCAGGACTAATGAGGGATATAGGAATCTAGAGAGGAGTCTAGGAAAATAGCAATGGTATACCATAGTTGGAAATATTAATTACGGCTTACACCCTGTTATAACTGAGTGTAAAATATGTGTCGAAATACACTTCAATTTCGTAACAAACGTCCCACTTTCAAAATTCAGACTTCATTAGGAATTATTAAAGATACTTACCAATATTAACACAGTCCTCGACAATACCATCAACTTCTGTTTCCGGGATATCCTTCAGTATTTTTTCTCTCAGAACCTCTTCATCTATGTTACCATCTGTGTCCATCTGCGATTAACATTCATTTAATCTAATATACTTTTTGAAATAATATCATTGAAGCTTACAATCCCTCCTTTATTCAGTAAACATTCGGTGTAGCATTCAAGTTTATCCTCATCTTCCTCTGTCTCTCCCATTAATATTTTCTGTACCATCTCTAAAATTTTGCCATCAGTTTATTTCACCTCTCTAATGATCTTTTACTTTGAACGTACCTATAGTAATGTCAATTTCTTCGGAGCATTCTTCGCTGAACTGTTTCAATTCTGCCTGTTGGTCACTGGTCAACCAAGCCTGGAAAGTGATAACCACATCATCAAGAATAAGTTCGCAATCTTCTAAATTTTGAATGAACGTTACAAGCATGACAGTCTTGATTCTCGCGATAAATATGATGGAAACAGAAATGTTACCACCAGAAAATTTATAGAATTTACCAAACTATTGGCGACGTAAAGGGCAAGAAGAACAGCAACGATTTTCATGGTTTTATCGAAGGTAATTGGAAAAAATGATGAAACACAGAACGAGTGCACGGCAGGATTTGATTCGTACACAGTTCTAACTCTTATATATATCACCGTTCAATTTTCGTTATCTTCGATATACATTTCCTTCCTGGCATTAATGACTTATTGTTCTTTAGATGAGATCGTTCTGTTTCACCTTCGGCGATTTACGATAATGTTTATGATATCTGTATAAGTTAGAACAAAGTATAAATTATGTTTTCAAACTTATTTAATTCCTTTCTTAGACATTTGTAATTTAGTTGAGAAAGTTTAGAGGTTTATTATTTGCGTTAAGAATTAATATAAATAATGTACAATTTGGTTACAGTTTGGTTCTTCTCATAAATGTAATAGTGCTGAATACACTGCTGAACAATAAAAAGATTTATAAACTGGAACGAATACTTGTTTATGGCCGTAAAGAAGCAAGGACGATAAAAAAAGTCATTTGCGCATTAAGGGGGGAGACCAGTATGACGCAGCCTAAAACGGGCCTATCTTTAAAAGATCGTCAGAGTTTTGTCGCTTCAGAAAAATCAATTCTTTTGATGAATTTGGTTAAAATGGACCTTTATTTAAATATTTAAAAAAAAAATCAGTACAAATAAGGGCGGTATAGTTAATAAAATAATCTTTTAATTTTGCGCCGCCTCCGAAAAGGTTGAAATCTATTTAATATACTACCTAACGAGTAAATAAGTTTCATTCATATCTGCTACGTAATTGTATGATTGAATGAAATAAAAATTACTTCATTAGGAAATAGAAATTATTTTATACTTTTTAGTGCATTTCGAAGTGGACGTATTTTTTTTCTTAAAATTATTTTATTTCACGCTTTTTATCGGCCGACAAGACGTGTTTGTAGAAACAGTAGAAAATCAGCGACTGCATGTTGACGAGAGTTTTTCGAATTTTTAAACCCGGTTTTTGGCATTATACGTAGGAAAGAAGGGAGAATTTTTTAAGATGATAAAAAAAAATCGATTTTTTTAAGGTGTCATATTGGTCCCCCCTTAAGCGTACTTGGAACAACAGTATGAAAATAGAGTTAACAGAAGATGGAACAAGTTGCATTCAGCTTATTGGGTAAATATACTTATTTATACAATTTTGAGAAATATTTTAATACATTTCCTCGCATTCATCTCTCGTAAAAATTTGCATCAGTAGATGATGACGGACGTGGTCAGACAAGTAGGAAACCTAGTTGGATTTTTATCAGAACGAAAGAGACATCAAATATTGTCAAGTATTTATCTTGTTAATTTATTAATTTATATTTACAAGTGCAACGGCCAATTAATACGTGAATTACAATTCAAAAATTGAAATTACAAGAACAATTCTCCACATTCGATTCGCAGTTTAGTTAAGTACGTTGAAGGATTTGTTGTCTTTGAAACATTTCACCAAGTTCGATGCTTTCTTACAGTCATTAGGTCCAGCTGCAAGAAGTTATTATTCATTAATTTTGTTACAGTATCAGTATCATAACAACTGATAGTAATTCCACTGGTTATATGAAGAGACTCGGTATTAACACTTACTGGTGTCTTTGCACTTGTTGATGACACTCTCAACCTGTTCTTGAGGAACGGTGGATGGAGCCCTCTGCCTGGCGACTTCGACGTTGATGGTACCGTCAGCGTTCATCTGTCATGAAATTAAGTTTCAACATAAGTTTCACCTGATGAGTTTCACAGACAATATTATTTAAGTAATTTTTTACTCACGACGCCGATTTTCTTCAGCATGCAGGAAGCGAAGCAGGCCAGTTTCTCGTCATCCTCTGCGAAGTTGCCGGTCTTGGCGTTTTCGACCACCTCTGAAGAACAATACACCAATTTAACATTCTTGATATTCAGTCTATTTTTACGTAAATTTATCGCGAGGACTATTGCTTATCAAACACAAAAATTATAGTAAATTAAGGAAATGTTGCGTTTGACGTTAGAAGAATTGTACTTACGAGCATCTACACCGGTCTCGGTGATGCAGGCGTTCTTGTGTTGGGTCAATTTGGCTTTTTGTTCCTCAGTGAGTGCCTGAAAATCAAACAATATATATTATACCCACACACAAATTTATAGAGTGCATATTACTCTTGCATGTTTAAAAATACAGTATTTAATTTCTACATTAAAAATTTAATATTAACAACAATATCCCTAATAAAAATTCTCGTTTTTTTCTAGCTAAAGTCGCACATCAAAACTTGACATATTAAAAAGAAGATGGACTGCAGAAATATAAAGGCAAAATTACCAAAGCACCGACGAGGCAGAAGGCGAAGATAACTGCAACGGTCTTCATTTTTTTCGTTTTTTATATTTGCGATGTGTAAGCGAAGTCTGATCGGATGTCCAAGAAGAACTGAATACACGTCGAATCTTCCGCGAGCTTTTATAGTTGAAGATGCAATCACTCCTCGTGAGATGCTGATGGGTCAAGCCAAGGTTTTCTCCCTCCATCGATCACCAAACGGTTGTCTATTTTTCGAGGAGGAACCTACCCAAATACTTTGCCTCCGAAACATCATAATCTCCCTTGATTATGTAACTATTCCTGGAACACGGGGGTTCCTATCATACAATAACGTTTTCTTCTCGAATTTTGCGTAAAAAAAGAATTATGATTAATGGAGTTACGTGTCAGTAATATAACCATCTTCTTTCTTTTGGAACAAACACAACTCTACAATGGCGACATTTCATGACTATCGATATATTAATATATGTACATTTAAAATGTATTAACTAAATATTATATAATAAAATATTGTCTCTTCTTATTTTCACGTTTCAAGGGTCACTACATATCAATTGCGTGATTTCGGCTCAACAACAGATGATCCTTGAACAACTATATATAATTACGCAAAGATTATTGGAAACGTTGACCGAACGGGACTTCGTTTTTTATTCCCGGCACGATTTGTCAAAATACATAGCTGTTTTTTTTGTTCCAATATTGATGCCTAGAGGCTTTAAATATTTCAAGATTTTAGCACGCATATATTTCAAGATTTAAATTATGAAATATTCTAGTTATTTAAATGGCCTTTGGAGTTTTGAAATATTAGAACTTTAGACTCTGGGATTATAGAATTTTTTAACTTTCAGATTTCAAAGCTTTGACTTTATGGTCTAGGTTCTATGGTCTGAAACTCTGTGAACATTGAGAATTTGAGACTTTTATAGAATTTCTGAATAGAATTTAGCAGTGTTAAAATTTTAAACAATACAGTTCATAGTAAATGCAATACGAAACATATCCTAGCCTCTGGTATCAAAAGAATACCGTAAGCATCATTTTGATTGATGCCTGACCGCAGCCATGCCCCAAAGCGATCGGTTCTAGGAAACCCGAAAAAACTTCTCCAAACTTTGGATTGTTAAAAAAAGAAGCAGAGATACTTTGCGTAATTTTTTGTCGAATAATACTGACATGAATAATTCATGAATAACTATCGTATTCCGCATTATTTTCTTGTGGCGAACAGGTTATCGAATTTCATTATTAGATCGAGTCACACGTGATTTTCGTGATCCTCCAGCTCCATTATTCTCGAAGGTCACAGTCAAGTTTGTAACCATGAACATTCTACATACATACTGCATGGAAACATACATAGTACATGGCACTCGGATATAAAGGATCATCGATGATCTTACAATTATGCGCTTAAATTAACCGAACGTGAGTATGGATGTAGAGCATTACGCAAGTAGTCGTTAACAGCTTGTTTTGCTAATTAAAAATTCCTGTGCATATTTTTAAAAGATTTCTGATTGATAATAATCGGTTTTGAGTCAACAGTTGCTATGAATGTTAAAATAGAGTGCTACTCTTTTACATATGAGTAAATTTTCTTTTCTTTAAATACGAACTCAGTGATTAGAGCTCGGCTAAACTGAAGACTTAATTAATTATTTGTTACATTGTTTGCAATCCTCAGAAACGATACGATAAATTAAAAACATTATGCTCGTCGCTTTCTCCGGTTATCTAATACATAAGAAGAAGTCTCGTAATAAATAATTTCTTTTATGAAAAAGACTTCGGCGGGAAAAATGAAACGATAAGAAGTTCGAGCGATTTCTTGAGGTCGCTGTTTAAATGATAACATAATGAGCGAGTTACAAGTATCTTTGTTGGACCAAAATAAAAATAAAGCAAGCAGTGACCGCTTGTCTCGCACGTTTCCACTGCAGACATGTGATAAATTACAAAATTCAATCTATATGTAGCGCAGCATCTGAAATGTTAATTAATTTATTCTCTATCGACGAGGTACTAACATTGTATTACATAAAAAATTAATCCGAGGAAATCATTACTTACGAATTCTAGGAAAACACGAAGTGTGATTTCAACTATTTAATTTTAAATACCGATCACGTTATTTCCTTTACTTTATAGCTGAATGATCAACGTTATATCATGTATCCAATTATAATTGCAATTTGTCCTGTATTTCAAACAATTTCCTTAACCGAGAAACTTATGTGCCTGGAAAGAATATTAAATGAAATTCGATTCTTCTAACATTCTCACGGCTCTTTTCCGCTTAATTATCGTTGATCTAAAGCTGTTTAATTATGTTAATTTATACGAAAATACTCCCATCTTGCATATTAAAGTATACTTACTGATCAAATAAACATTTAGCAATTAAGGCCGCGATATCGCGTGCGCGGATATTCTCTCAATGCACGTGATATCGCATGAGAAGTATCCACAGTGCAATGTCGAATTTTACATTATTGTAACCTACATCTTCTGCCAGAATTTTCCAGAATTAATTAAAAATAAAAAATGTTACCATCAGTAGAAAATAGTGCTGCCACCTGTAAAGACACGTGAAACTATTCCATGCGTCAACCAGAATGCACCAAGTGACATGCATACACTAACACATGAAAGTGGAAGCTAGTCGTTGAATTACAGAATATTAAATTAGTTGTGTGTAGTATGAGAGTACAACTGCCACACTGCCTTACAAAACATGGGAGATAAAGGTAATACGCTATCATTTGACGATAGAATTGTTTTCACTTCGTGCTGTCATTTTTACCATAATTGAAATCCATCATGCCTGTACCCTTTGAATCAGTGTCACGTTGCCGATAATTAGCATGCATACATCAATAGCTTCATTTGTAAAATCAAAAGATCATTCTCGATTGTTGTTTCAATCGAAGATCGTACGGTTGAAAGGTTGATCTGATGCCGGTACACGGTTGACGTATTAGGTTAGGATATGCTTGTAATTGGGTCATTTAAAAGCGCGCCATTTCGAATACGTCAACTATCGAATGACCCCTCATTGTTTATGCACTTCGAACATTTCGATTTTTCAAAATTTTCCCGCGTTTACTTTGTCTACGACGAGGTCGATTCTGTGTCATAACCTTTAGAAATTTTTCGCATGCTTATCACCTGTTTTCTAATCAACGTTAAGAAAGTCGTGATATTTTTTTTAGGTTGATACAGTTGTCCTAATGTTGTGCAGCTATGAGCATTATAGATTATATAACGAAAAGAATGCTGATACAATGCAACCTTGTCTCTGCACATGTTTTCATTCGAGTATAAGCTAAAGAAAACTTACGTGGTTAAATACTCGATCGATCTCCAGAACTCTGTAATCTTATCATGTTTAAACCATTAATACCTAAACTTGCAATGTATATGTAACTTAAATGTTGTATCAACATTTTATCGCACCTTCTATAATCATAAACGTTTTTTTTTTTTACCATCGTAAATAAATAGTTATGATATTATAGGTAAATATTTATCCTAACACATTCATTGTCGGATTCGAGAAGCAAGTCGATCTCGATTGTTCGATCACATCGAACTGAAACTAAAGACCTAAGTGTTCGAATCCCCTGAAATTGATTTGGATCGCACCAGATTTAATCGCTTCACATTGCATTGAATCGTTAGTGTTTGTGTAGTAAATAAACATGTTTACAATTTGTTACATCGAGATAAAAGATGATCTGAGAATCGTCTGATGAATATTTCGAGATATCAATGCCCCTATTCATGAATATAGATAATTTACACAAGAAGCTCGATATCAATGTTTATGTACTGTTTTTATTCACTAATTAAAACCTATGTTTAGAGCAGCATCACGTACACTTTAGCGGGGGAAGCGGTCTCGGGAAAGATAACAATATTATGATACAACCGCAACGACATGGACAAATAGATGCACATCTTGGATTTTTGCAACTTCATCACAGGTTCATTTTTTATTTAAAAAAGTTCTGAAACACCCTGTATATCGCTTGCTATTACTTTCATAAAGTAATAAAGATAAAGGTAAATATATTATCGCAATTATTTTCTGTTTCTGTTTCTTTTAGATATCACGTGGAATTCTCGATTCCGTGGAATGAATGTACACATAGAAATGGAAAGAATAACCCTCCAGCAATAGCGACAGGACCCCCTAACCCTAATTGTCGCATTATTGAATTGAAACAAGAAAAAGATGGCCTAAAGTAAAACATAATTTGTAAAAGTAGCTACATAAATCATGTCCTTTTAAGTAATGATTTTTTATACCTAATTCAATGAGTAAATAAAAATTACAATAATAATAATATGCTTTCAATAACATAAAGATATTAAAATTATTTCTTTAAAAGGAATGATTTTCATTTGAACACATATTAGACTCATACTTTGAACAACTAATAAAATAAAATGCTCTTTCTGTGACAGGTTAAAAATAGAGTTTTTAGCGTATAAGGAAAAGATTTTGAAGGAAGAAGTGCAAATAATGTGTTGCAAGGAAGGAACCCCATTGCACATTCAACTGAACACCCGCGTTTTGGGAAAAGACAAGGGTACACCGTTGCTGAGGAATGGGATACACAACATTGGCGTGGACAAAGCGAACATGGATGAGGTCTCCGAGTAGATCTCGTTGATAAAAATATCGTTGTTTGAAAATGTACGAGTCGAATGTTTCTTTTCACAGGTGAGGAGTGGAAGGTCAAGTAGAGGTTGAGGATCAGGAGTTAAACGTGAAATACGAGAACGTTTCTTATTTCGAACTTTAGTCGTGCGATTGGCAGGATCTTTGCCTATGAACATAATCACTGCGGTTAGCTAGCAATGATTTGCAACCGTTATTTTAATTGTAAGAAGTTATATATGCACGCGTTAAATTTATTGGCGTAATTGGGACTTATATTTGGAACAAGTTTCCAATAGATTGACCAATAGTACAGGGTTAAACGGCTTTGTAGAAATTTCTGAAGTTCTAATGCAAACTATGGATAGCCAGTGTATCTTGGGGTGCGGTCAGGTTTATCCTGATTAGTATCTAATTACGCCAATGTTAAATTTAAAATATATAGAAATAATCTTATCTATCGGTCGTGATAAGCTTAACACGACAGCTATCTTAAATGCACGATATAACTTTCGAAATACGCAATGTTCGGTAAAAAAGCTGCTATTGGATTTATTGCAATGCCTTCAATTGCATGGGCCTATGAGACAACTGCAAGACTTGTTTCTTCTCTCGCGTCGACAATTTTCAACAACGAACTTGACGCGAGTACTTAAGTGTTCTTTTAATCAGCCTTCTTGAAGGATCACATCGAGATATGTAATTAACTAAATCGTAATTGCTAAATACCGCATTTGCCTATTGTTCCTTCTTAAACGAGAACGTATCACGCAATGCCTATATCAAAGTCTATAACACTCAAGCGTAATATCATCAATCTATCTGTAATAACGAAATTGTATTTTATGATCGTTTTACATCGAGTATAAATTTATCAGAAGAAAAATATCAGTAATCAAAAAATGAATTTTACGATTGACGATGCTGTTTTCTAATTCTTTGCTGAACTGATACGAACTATCAAAATAAATAACTTCGACGAAACAATGTGCCCTACGTTTGTTTCATTGTTAATGATGATCTTTCGTTAAAACCTATCTTTGTACAAAATCAATTGACCATCAAAAGTTGAAAGTATTATCTTAAAGTCAATGCCGCTATTAAATGATGGTGATTTTTACGCAAACTCTAACGTCAGCTCTGCTTAAAGTAACCTGATTAGTCAACTAATTTTGCACAGACTTGAAGTTTCATTATATGTATATTGTACTAATAATGCAAAATCACGAATCTTATATTGTATATGCTTTTTAGCTATTAACATTATTTAATTCGTGCGTTCACAGTCAATACATTTTAAAGTATCACACAATTGCAACCTGTCCTATAATGGGCGATTTTCAGCAAGGCTTTATGTACCCTAAGTAGTAAATATATTAACCAAATACAAAAAGTCATCGTCAGCAACGGAAACTCGATCGTTTCATGGGTATACCTGTTGGTCCATCAACAAATTCGCAAATGTTAAAACCAAGCCTGGCTAAGGGATGACAATTACTTTTAGGATTACCCCACTTCCCTTTGAAAGTCATCCAGGTGGGTAAGATGCCGTTGTCCTCTTTCAGCAACATTTCCATCTTCTTCCACGTAGGCCAAGCCGTACCAAAACCGCTCTCGTCGTAAAGCCGTGGCAATCTGACAAATTTGTGTTTCCCCGGTGCTGTCCACAACCCGTGAGATCCCCTGGCACTGAACAGTATCGGATGAGAACCGCCGGCAGTAAACACTCTTTCGGGGAATATAGGCTTCTGGAAGATGCCTTTTCGCGTTTCTTGACTCTCGTATACGAAGGTACCGCTTCGCAGATCGTAACGATAAAACGCTCCTGCATCGTGAGCGGATACATACATCGCCGAAGGATAATGGGCGTCCTACATTTCAGAAATTATTTCACGATAGAACCAAAATTTTTCCAAATGATATTTGTTTTAAATGAACAATTTTATTTTACCTTGAAATAAAGGCTCATGTGCTCCCAATCGCCCACATGACTGCCATACTCTTTGAGTATTCCGAAACACATACCGCCCACAGTCGGTATCGGCCAGCTACCAAAAAATCCGAGATCCAGAACGCAAACTGCCTTTCCCTCGCTAAACGGATAGAACATCCAATAGGTCACGTGAAAGTGTAGCTTCCGGGACCTGTTCCCTTTTTTATTCTTTTTATCTGAATCCCCTGGTTTCTGCAAATAGTTCCATTTTTCAAATATAGTCGTCACAGAATTCTTGAGAAATTAATTAATATACTCAATGTTGTTTCTAATCAATAAAATAGCTGGACTTAGTAACTTAATATTTGAAGCAAATTAGACCTAACGCATGATCCACAGGTTAAACTTGCCTCCACACCAGCTTTGGTGCCGCCGTTCAAAATTGTTCCCGGCAGATCATTGGTGAGGATCATCGATCCGAAATCGTCGACTTGAAGCGCATTTCTTGCTACTATCAACGTTCTTCCTTTTCTTCGCGACTTTCTTTCGTCTCTGATGGTTTTTGAATTGATCGTGTCCGTAGAAATTTCTGACGTGGTGCAGCTCTTGATCACAGTGTAAACTGGAACCGTACCTGCCGGCTTCCGGCCGTACAAGAACGATGATCGGTTCTTCAACAGTGTCTCTGCCAACGTAAAATCAATGGATTAATTTGGATAGCGACAACGAACAGCTTTCATCGTTTTCTCCTACCCGTCTCTGCAAAGGACGTTCATCATTTACCTACGTCGATTCTAGTGCGAAGGTAGTCGTCGTCCGATTGCATGTTTTCAAGGAACTCGGGTACTCCAAGTGGCAAGAACAGCTCACCAGGTGCAAGCCATACCAGAGGTGCCCAATCCCGTACCAACCCTTTTACTGCAATTAAACAGATATACTTTGAAGTTATATTTATTACAGTTACTAGATTCTGCTGGCTCTGGGACAAAATGTTATTAAGAAGATACAGGTCCTGCTGACCCTGTACAGGATTCTTTAACTACCCTAGCTTTCTTCTCAGACTTTCTCTGCCTCTCCAACTTTGATAGAGAAACGAAGAAAGTATATAGTAAGTGAGAAAAATAATACTATCAATTCACGAAATACACGAATGAGAGAAAATATGGAAAGACTCACTAAAAGAGATAACTTATGTTTCTTTATTAGTTACTCTCGTTTTAACGATTTATATCTAAGACAAGTTCGACAAGGAGAAACTACGAAAAACTGACTTTTTCTGATATTTTTTGTTTTTGTTCTAAGATGTGTTTGTGACTTGGGTACATTTTTCTATGGAGCAGATCATATCAGAACAAGTTCTTTTTTTAATTGAACAAGACAGCTTGATAACATTTATAATTATAAATTAAAAGTTGCCATAAACAAAGAATAAAAATATATGACCAAGTGAGAGTAGCAGGTGTTCAATCTCCTTCCAATTTGAGTAATAATTTTCGCTATGATAAGAGAAAACACGCTTATGGTGTCATTACGAGTGAATTAAATTCGATCAATCGAAGCTAGAAAGTTTGAGGCGCACGAAGCCGAAAGGACAGATTCGTGGAACTATGTGAACCAGAGATATCTAAAGCAGGCCCAGACACATTATGAGTTGGGAATTTTCACTGAAATTAAGTTTGGCATTTTGTAATTTCGAGAACTTAATAATTTTAACAATAAAGAAAAAATACAGCAGTAATAATGTGATTTCTTTCCGGTCATTTGATACAACCGCATTGCTCGCGTAAATGATAGTCAATGATGCTAATGATGTTACCGGCGATAACATAATATATTTATTAGAAAGCTGGTTACGACTCTCGTGTCAATGTGTGCCACATATATTTAGGTGGAAAAAACAAAAACCCTAGGGGGGTTCTGCTTTCATTGCATCTCAAGCGGCCAAGATTATCAGATGTACGAGTGTGTGCATCGTCCCACACACTCCTACACGTAACTCGAACCTGCTTCGAACAGTTACATCGTACGTACGAGGCGGCCTATAAGTCACCAAAGAACTCAAAACCTCGTTACGATCCCGATGATACTCGCGAAGTCTGTAACTTGAAACTCTAACGATAACGAAATATTTGGAGATCAAGTGTCTATGTAGGCACAATTTTTTGTTTCATAATTGGAAGCAGGAAATGCTTTCACCGATTTCGTCCACGTGTACGAGCATAGCCCAATATCGAAGTCATAATTATTATGTATAACCGACACAACGTAACCGTGTTTGGTGTTACGACACGTTTCCCATTATGCTTCCGCAATTAACGAACAGTTCGCGAACGGGAACGGGTTCCTGGTCGAGAAACGTTACTTCGTCGCGGAGTTAATTATCTTATCGTTTAGACCGATACGGAAAGGTTTAATTGCGAGCGGTTCTTCAGAGGTGAGAATAAACGACCATTCATTCAAAGCGGATTACTTCCAAGTGAAAAGAAGATGAAGAAACGTCGGATCGCAGCGCTCTCAAATACTGGACTTTTTCTGTAAGAAAATAAGAGATAAGATCTGTACATTAGAAAATCTAAAAGTCAAAGTAAAAGTGGGGACAAATTTTGTAACGAAAGTAGACTTTCCTAAAATAAGTGCGATAATGGCGCTAGTCGGTCAAACTGGAATTCGTTTAATTATCGTCCACGCATGCGTGCGATACGAGCGAAATCGAAGATTAATGAAAACTCGTTTTGGCCTGCTTGACAATCGTAAAACCGGTCCAAAGAAATGGGACGATCGATTTTCAACTTCGAAGCGATTCGTGTCTGTTGTATTTCTGAATATAGATCGGCTAATTTGGAAAGAAACACAAACGTTTTCTTGCGCTAAGACGTGCACGTTAATTACGACGCGCAGTGATTCATGGGTGCCTACCGAATAAAATTATTTCACCGTTAATCCAATAGCTCTCGTGTCCGAACGGTTACCATGACGATCATGTCCTGATTCAGGATATTTTGGTGCTACTTTTATGACGTTGTCATCGCCTTATAACCAATAATCTACCGAAGATAATTTATGGTTCATGGAATCCTTATAATGTACAGCAAAATTACAGTGGTTTGCTTGTGCACGCTGTAATCATGTAATTATGACTATCTGAAATACAGCACATAAGTCATACTATGGAAAATCATACTACACCTGATAAATTTGTTAGAAAAGTTTTGTTTAATTACGCCCATAATGAAATATATCAAGTTATAGTTATATCACATACATCAGATAAATGCAATGTAAAAATATATCAAGTACCACTGAATCTTTAAATTTGTTTTTCTAAAAAATACTAGAGGTGGATATTAAGCTACCAATACACAAAAAGAAAATTTAAACAATAATAATTTTCATTAGAATGTTTTAAGTAAATCTTGAGGAGTATTTATTGACAATTATTTACAAAAAATAATCTTTATTAAAATGTCAGTCTCTTACCTCGTTCTTCCTGGACAGTTTCTGAAGCCACGGTCATACGAATAACACACAATATCATCAGCAAACACTGCATGGTATTCGGGATGTTCACACATTTTGACAACCGAGTTCCAGAAAGTCCGCAAAACTCAAAAACAGTTAAGTGTCTATCATCGCTGACACGTACATCCTACCACCTTTATATCCCTTATACGTTGCTGCTACCGTTACCGATCACTGGAGAACCGTATAACTTTGAGGTTAACGATCAACGGATCGTTCTGCTACCAGTTTGAGTGTTTCTCAGGTAACTGACCGAGTCTTCGCGTTCCCTCGTGCCGCTCACTGGACAAACATTACCTTCGCTTACGGCCATCGTGCACGGTGTTACGAGAATGCCAAGGAAAATCTCAAACGTAACGCGTTAACCCTTGTATCAAATTGAAGGTTTGACCGATGGTTGCGCGCTTTTTATTTGAAAATTATTATCTGCGCGCGCATGCTCGTTTTGTTCCCGCGCATTTGATCATTTACGCGGTATAATCGTCTTGATTTAAATCGATCATTTTAGTTTGTCTTCTGCTTGAAATGTAAATGACCAACAATTTGTTAAAATTTTTTACGACTAATATGGTTGTTCAAGAAAATAATTTGTGCTTAATTGATCAGTTAATATCGGACGATATAAAAAGTAGAAAGTAATCGGACATATGGTCACGGTTACGAAAGGGAAACAAAACGAGTGATCCGGAAACTATACAGGCCATTTACGATTAGTGAAATGGAAAGTATACTACGCGGACGGGCATGAAGATTACGTTCGAGAATGATATTCTTTACATTTCATCCACACATTTTATTATTTGAAAACATATGCTAACTTACAATTTTAATCTAGTGTTTATAAGACATATGTTAGTTTATAACAATTTATTTACTCGAACATCACATTTTCCTCACTTTAACGGTATTTATAATTTAAGTCGATTCGCTTAAATAGGAATTAACTGATTTAAACAGATCAGTTATCACGCTAATTTCAATATAACAATATAACAATGAAAGTAATATTGAACAAAAGTGAAAAATTTTGGACAAAATAAAGATATACTTTAGGTACAATTGATTCAAGAATTTTTTTCATTATACATACAAAATTTATTGCATTAATTTAATTGCTATATATGATGAACATTTTACAGACTGCAAAATAAAAAGCTAGGATCGAAACTTATTAAATTATCACAATTTATAAAGTGTATAAGATATCTGAATGTATCCTATAAATAAGCTAAAGTACATATGCAATGTGAATGATATAAAATGTATTACTAGCTAAATCAATAACTTATTTGTATAGTGAAGTTATTACCCAGCATTGAATTTCTGAATTAGATTTTTAAAAGCTAAACTGAGAAATATAATTTATCAAAGACTAATTGATTATGTTGCATAACTTTCATTTTTTCATGATTATTTTCGATTCAGTATAAGAAGAAGAATGAAGTATTATTACTAATGAAATTTATAGTAATATATATATCAATAAATACTAAAAAGTAAATTCAAACTATCGCATACATAGTCTAAATTTCATGATTAAAAATAGATTGCAGTTCTGATAAACTGCAGCATAACATATGTAACCCTGTAACATATACTATTTGAAAAGGCATTGCAGTTTTATAGAAACACGGTAGCTTAAACATGTAAGGCAACAACAAAACTCTTATGTTATATGAAGTATTTCTTCATGAATTAAAACTTTCCCTTGATTTGTCACAAATAAACAATGATTTCAAACGTTTTATCACAATAAAGAATCAAGAAATTCTCTCCAGTTAGTAATATCAGTAACAACCAATTCTTAGTATGATGTGAACTTAATGTGTGTTCTACAATATTCAACCGAATACAAAAATCTTATACTAGTCAATATTTATTCGGTACTGATTTGGCAGTCCTATTCAATGTGACTTCTACAGTTTGGACATGATTTCTGTAAAATGTTCAGATGAAATTTGATGCAATAAAAAGTAATCACATAAATTTAATCTGTTAACTGTTAAGAAAGAATTCAATATAATTACTTAAATGACAAGTTAACTCATTGCCCACAGTTAACAGGTTAAACAAAATTAATTTCTTTAAAAATTTGTTTCTAAAATTTTGTTCATAGAATTTACCTCAAGTCGTTTCCATTCATCGATACAATTTTTATGAAAAGCATGATTACAAGCCTTGAGCACAATTTTTCTCCCAGCTCCCAAAGGTGTTAAACATATCGTACAATCATCAAAATCTGTATTATGTGATATGTTCCTACGATGAAAGCTAAGAACAGAGATACATTGTTTCTTAATATTAATTAAGAAACTTGGTTACCTTGGTAACACCATTTACCACTTACCCTGAATTATAGCCATTTTCTCTTTGTGATTCTCTCATTGTATCTCTGTATCTATCTCTTTCATACGTATATGCATCACGTTCGTCGTTTCCAAACATATAATATAAAATAGTTGCTACAGTAATTCCGATTAATACACATGCTAAACCCGGATAAGCCATTCTTTATTATGCTCACTTAAAACAACCATAAAAATACTTAACAAAATCAATGAACAGGATTTGTGTATTTCGAATCCACGATCTACAGGTCTTGTGTTTTGGACAATAATATGAAAGGAATCCGAACTTAACCACAAAATCCCCGTACTATACGATATATGGATTCGCATAACAACACTACACGTTTACAACAGGTTAGCCAACACAAAATTGTTGATTCACCTGTGAAATTGAAAATCTACTTGTATGATTGTCAATTTGCTTTATACTGTAGTATTACAATGACTGAAAATTATTAACGAAGACAGTTTTGTTAATAATACCTGAATGCGTTCTAATTTCTGTTAAATGACATTAAAAGTTTACGAATTATGTAATCGAAAACTATACAAAGTCAATGATGAACTTTATCCCTAAGTAAATAAAAATTCTATTATTTATTTGAAAGAAGTTACCAATGAAATCAATGTTACATCCTTATGTCACTTACAATTTGACTTATAAACGCGACATGGATAATAATAAACATAATATAATCTAACGTCGAAATTGCAATTTTTATTTTTATACCGTACACATATACATATGTACTTAATAAATACACGAGTATCCATGTACCAAAAATATCTCTCTGCTACCATTGAAGTAATCTATTAAACAATTATTACATAACAATAAGGTCAAATATTTATAATACATAAATTTTTATTCTTTAACAGTTATAAAGTGATACATTTACCGTTTATTTACATTATAATCATCATTTAGTTTAAGAAAATAGAAATACAGCACATGGCTTCTAACAAAATCGTAAAGAAAGTGCGTCATTACATTACGTCAAATTAAACGCATGTACATAGACTGTCATTGTAAATTAATAAAATTTGAAAATCCTCAACGTAACAAGATTCAGTGAACCGAATTGATATTATATTGTAACATATTTAATAACTTAATCTTTTCAAAGTATTTAATGGTCCTTTCTCTCCGACGCATCTCGATGCTTCATTTCAAATCTGACAATCCAAAGTTGCTGTGGAATGAGGAGGTGATAACGTAACGGGTGTCATCGAAGAAATTGTGCGCTCGATGGATTGCAACGGAGGTGCCTGTTGTTTAATCAACATGTGGCGAAGACATTGGGCTTCCTCTCGAAGCGTTATTACTTGCGCCCTCAAGATAGCATTCTCGTGTTCCAGCATAGTTGCTCTTAATGCAATCTATAATATACTTTGGTTGAAGTTAATAAAATAATATAATATGAATAATGTTAATTTGAAATTATTACACAATATGAAATTATACATATATGTATATGTATTCGAGGAGCCATTGTACTCACATGATCTTCTCGAATTTTGCGAGCGTCGCGGGATTTCTTCGCGGCTTGATTATTCCGTTTACGTCTTTCATAATATTTCTCGTCTTTCTGATCATCGGGAATTGGTTTCTTCTCGCTTCTAGGTCGTTTATGGACTCCGGCAATAGTATTTGTTCCCAAAAAGTGGTGTGCCATTACGTTACCTGTTTTATCAAATACGTTAATCAGTTTATATACAGCTTAGCCTACAAAATCACGAACTGATATCGATGAACATGAAATATAATGTAATTTCTGGACAAAAGAAGAGGGTTCAAAAAGAAATCCCTGCCCCGAGTGAGGATCGAACTCACGACCTTAAGATTATGAGACTTACGCGCTACCTACTGCGCTATCGGGACTTGTGGCAACACCCTCTTTAAATAATATTTGAAAAAATTATAAAATTGGTGTTTATTAATTGTATAAATGAAAAAAAAATAGTAAGAAATTAATTTACCTGTATTAGTATTAGTAAAAGGTTGCGGTACATTAATGGATTGCATTAAAGGAGGCACTGCCGTTAAAAACGGGGGTTGAATTAGAGATCCCGGAAGTGAGAATGTAGCAGACAAAGGCGAGGGTGTTAATGGCGATGATGTTCGACTGATTGTTGCATCCGATGTATTAGAGTTTATTAAAATCTCTGAATTTCCAAAACCATAATCCTTGAAATTGTATGGCTCGTATCTGCATAAATCTATAAATTAAGTAGCTCATTATTTTCTAAGTTTGCCTATTGGAATATAGCTGATAAAAAAATGTATATAATATATTATGTAGAACTAATTCAATTAATATTTATTTCCGTATAGTGGTTCTTTTATGTATTTATTTTCGACAAAAATGGACGAATTAACAATATGAAATTTTATTATATAGTAGCACCATCGAATCAATGTTAAACGTCGTCTCTACCAACCGCCCCTGTGGCCTAATGGATAAGGCATCGGTCTCCTAAACCGGGGATTGTGGGTTCGAGTCCCACCAGGGGTAATAACAAAACTTCTTTTTTTATAGCAAATAATCATCTTTTAGAATTTTCACGTTCCTTTTTCACCTAGCAAAATAGCAAATAGAAACAATACATTAAAATCAAAAGAAGAAATATTGAAGATTTCAAATTTCCCACAAAAATCAATAAAATGGAAAGACTTCACTCTTTTGACAAAGAATATATTCTCATCTACCTACGAAAGGTTTCAGTAATGTTATCTGAAGTCACGCGTTCAATAAAGTTATTAAATAAGAACATTGCATGTTTCCGTGAAATTTTTGTCCTGTTCTGTCTACTTTGTAACAACCAATCCTTCTAAATATCTCCTTGTTATAAAAAGTATTATACTTTGTCCTTTATGAATAGTGTCATAAAAAATATGTAGCAATTTCAAGAAAGTACCTATTCAGTCTTCACCTCTACTAAAAAAGAAAAGAATAAATAAATATTAAGAAAAATAAATTAGAAATGAAAAAATATATAACGAATAAAAACGTAGAATGAATTAAGAATTAAAATTGAAAAAAAATAATGCCCCCGCCGTGACAATGTGCTTTGTATCACATTGCCGTGACCAGGATTCGAACCTGGGTTACTACGGCCACAACGTAGGGTCCTAACCACTAGACGATCACGGCTATCGGAGGTGTTGAGAGAACGCTGGAAAATGACCAGAATCGAACTTCATGTTGACCAACTTGTTCATTTATCCGTAACGATAAGACTTACTATATACTTTCCAATTGAACTGTGTACCAAAAACTTATACTTGGGAGAAGATATTATACAAATGCAATGTCGGACTAATGTACGAGTAAAAGATATATTAAATTTCAGAATTTGTGTATTTTCAAAGTACCTGATGCAGGCGCGAAGAGGCTGTAACTCCTTAATAAGTGCAATGCAGAAAACGCGCTGGACACTGTGTTTCCGCTACAAATAGTTCTTGCATGTGTATGAGAGCTCATTCCTCCAAAACAAGTTTCCCAAAACTTCAGGACACCGATAAATTGTTAAAATACAATCAAACCATTCTTCTTCTTTGCCAATGAAATGAACGGAATCATTGAGATCTTATCCAATTAATCAGAAAAATCAGTGAAAGTGGTCCTCGTCTCAAAAATTTGTGTCTACCGATGAAGATAAGCAATCATATATCCTTAACAAGAATCCTTATTCAATGTTTAGGTACCATCAATCATCGAGGTCCTTCACAAGTTCCGTTCTCCAATTTTCTTTCTAAAAGCAAACGTTGAGAAACTTTACGTATTCACCAGAAATATTTTCACAGTTCCGATGATGATAGTAGTAGTTTAAGAATTCAACTATTCGTTGTCGAAGACCTCGTATGACGCGACTTCTCGACCCTGTTAACGTTTTCTGTCACGTGTTCTATTACCACATACCTATCCACCAACAAATTCTCCAATTCGTCGTCGCAAGGGGTGGTTCCCGCCCCTCTGTGCATGCGCGTTGTCCAACAGGACAATTGTTCCGCCCCTGAGTGGTAAGGGGTGAACAGAGAACAAGGATTTCCAGTGGTCAAGGAAGTCAAAAGCCAGACTCTGTGGCCAATCCTGGGTTGTCAGACTTTTACACATCTATCCCAACCTTCATTTATGATTTCATGTTACAACTCGCTTCTCATATGTTGCGGGATGAAACAATGATTGGCAAAAGTTGCTGCCAGTGGCCTCCTTCATATATTATTGAATTTCAGTATTTCTATTTTTCAGGAATCCTGAGAAATACTGAGCAGCTTCTGTAACATAAAAATTAGCTAGTGTCTGTCACTCTGGATATAAAAAATAAATTGTGTAAATTATTAGAAAGGAAACAAATAGTATATTATATGTTCTTAAAGCTTTAAAAACCCAAAATTTTTAAATCTAAAAATCTCAAAATTCCAAATCTTTAAGTTATATATCGGTTCTGCTCTGGTATCCTCATACCTATTCGCAATTCTCAGAAAGTATGGTATCCCCTTAACTTTCATCAAAGTTTCCCTACAATTTATAAGTGTCTGTACATCACTTATAAAAGAACATTGTAGCAAGTACCAGTACATTGGACGGCTATGAATTCTGATGTTTCTGGGACAATCGGCAGCTGACACTTTCATGTTACTAATGTTTAATATTATAATGTCAGTAATTATTATGAAGTAAATTAGTCGACAACGACGAACATTAAAGGGGCTGCAACATTAATGAGATCGGGACGGGTCTTCAAATTGTTTCTACCATTCCTCATTAATGTTGCAACCCCTATTTTTGCGATCGCATGGCAATTAATGATCAAAAGATCGATTGCTTCGCGTGGAAGTTAAATGTTTTCTAAGTTAATACTCACATTGTTGCCTGTGTATAATCCAGAAACTTCTACCTGACTTCGAGTAGTTACAAAATCCAAAATTCTTTTTGATGCATTGTTTATAAGTTACAATGAAATAGAGCAATGATTGTTTGTTCGTTCTAAAAACATCGAAAACCGAAGGTAGAATCGTAACTATTTGGAAGAAGATTGCAGGTGTTACGGCGATTTATGGGATAGCGTGTCCTTTTCGTAGGCGAAAAAGGGGGACGAGCAATTTGAGTTATATTGCCTGCTCAAATTTAACTCAGGGGCGCATCGTGGGTTAAATAACGCCATTTATTATCGTAATATCTAATTTAGTGTTGAAGGGTGATGCGCTTGTGCCATGTGGCCGTGATCTCACGAGGTCGTAGTACAGGTGTCTTAGGAACAACAGTTTGTTTCCGTAAGTTTGCCAGGTGTACGCGATTAAGAAACAGAACAAACCATTTTCAGATTCGATGTTAGTTTTATTTAGCAATGTTGCTCTTGATTTCAACACTTCAATTTATTCTTCATACTCTTCTTTCACCTCGGATAATTCTTTCCATTATAATTAGGAATATTTGTTTATTATGCCTGTAGGAATACTATTTCATGCTACGTGTAAAGGTACACTGTTCTGTCAATGCTAAGTCCATCTTGATCCTTATTTAGTTACATACACGTGCAACTATGAATTCAAGTTATTGTTTCTAAGTAGCAGAAACAATCAAATAGCTCTTAGCGAGACTTACAGCGTTACAAATGTTATCCTTGTCGCTTTGTCGACCGCTCGTTATCATTATGTGGCTGGATTTGCGATAGCGACCACCCCCCGCAATGGTTCTTGCTGGCTTGGTCTCTGATCGTGCGAACCCAAACACCTGTCCGCGACCAGTGAGTAACGTGACATCACGTCATGTGACCTCCTCGGCCTCGGGCTCACCCCTTGGATCCCCATGGCGATGCGCGACCTCAGGGTAATCTGCCTAATCGCTGTCCTGGAATCGACGGATTACACACCAGGCCGATATCTTCCTGTTGTTATCAAATTTCGTCCACTGTGGTCTCCATTTTTAAAGCTCATTGGGAATCTCGATGATCTACTATGTGTGTGTAAAGTAACTCTAGGTCTTGCAACTTCTAGATTCCAGGAACGGTAGATTACAACCCTAAAATTTTTGAATCCTAAATAACGGGAACCCCTTAATGAAAAAAAGGAGATATGAATATAGAGTGGATATAGAAAGAAAACTTTAATCGCATCTTCTGCAACGAGCGAAGTAGAGTCGCGTCCTCGTGACGACTTGATGAGATAACTTTGCTCGAGTTGTGAAACAATGGGCGTCACGATTCGTGACTTCGTGCGAGGGCGAAAGGAATCCGTACCTCCTACGCGAAGAAGGTAAACGGGCACGGAGGATGAAATTAAGGGCTAGACACGCGACCCCCTCGCCACGATGTCGCTTACAGGTGTACAACACAGTGCGGTGTGGTGCGGTGCGTGATCTTCCTTCGTGTTCATCACCTTCATGCATGGAGGACGGACGTTTCGCTTGCTAGGTGGTAAAAAATACTTGTTGACATCTCGCTCGATTCTTCTTCCTTTTCGCGCTGTTATGCAAGCTGGATTTCACTCTAAAAAATTTAAGAGTAAGAGGGGTTTCTGAAATTTGAACTTTGTGATCTTCAAACTGTGGAATGTTGGTATTTTTAAGAATTCGAATTGAGATTTGAGTCTATCTAGGAATAAATTAATGAAAACATTCCAGGCTCTAACAAGATGTATCAAAATGCTATTCTTCAATATCCAGAACTTAATCATTTAGACTGTTTAGTCCTGTAGAGCATGGAAGCCATACACAGCCCTTCGGTTCCCAGGCTATTGGCAAATTGTGGCTTACCGTGCCAGCGCGGTTCTTATCCACACTCGTCTAGGTAATTCTTGGCAGGCCAACTCGTTGTTGTTATCAGACTTGAAACAACAACCCACACCTTCCACGGAATTCCAAGGTAGAAGAACAGAAAACTAGAAACTCGTTCGAGCTCGTACAATTCTTCATCCTCTTTTTTACTTCGTGTTCGTTCCTAAAACTTCGAAAATCTATTAAATATATTTCCCTGGAAATTGCATTATGAAGTGATTTAAAGTCTTATGGAAATACAAACTATATCTTATAAAAGAAGTCGTAATACCTTTTAAACTTCTTAACTAGAGATAGATGAAACCGAACGTTATAGAAAGTTGTTCACCTGTAACTTAGAGAACATTTATTATAAGCTGAGAAGAGAAACCGCGAGTAATTTTATTATACGGCATTATTGAAGCGACATTACAGACATCAATGACTGAATAATTCATAGCAATTTATACAGAATATTGTTGAATAGAAAAGAGCGTGTCGTTTCCGTGTACGAGCAGGCATCATCCAGTGATTGCTTCTTATTAATATTTTACGCACGTAGACCTCCCTCCAACAATCAAACGCTCCTCCTATTTTTTTCCTCTCCAGGTCTAATACACCGCCCCCTGACTGTACTGTTATTTAAATTACAAATCGATACTGCCGCGCGGAAAACACAGTTACAGAGAAAACTCATGTAACGCGAAAGCAAGATGAATCTGATAGGTGTTAACAACGGGGACGATCTAGCCTTCATCGTGAATTGATCATCGAGCTTCAGTTTGATGCTAGCAAAACGATTGGAGATTGATGAGTTTGATAAACGCAAACCGTGGATCTAAACATAGGAAATGTTTAAGCATTTGATAAGTGATTCAAAATCTGAATCGACATCTAAAGAAAAGGGTATCTCCTCTGCTTCTTCAAGTTATTTGGACTTGGAAAGTATAAAGACGTTCATTGTTTATCGATTGAAGTATAATTGTAAATTATGTAGCTTTCTTCAAGGCGATAAATTCTGTAATGAACGATAATCTCCAACTTCATGCACTTTATTAGCAAGGGGGTGTATTACTTCTAAATTTTACAATTTTCACCGTCGAAAACAACTGTGTACAATATGTCGCGTGAAAGAATATCAACAGACGAGGAGAACGAGTTACTCGACGAAATTCTTGAAGAAGATGAGGAGAAGGAAGATGACGATGGCTCAGAGAATTGCTTAGCGGAATGCGCGGAGGATCCTGGAGACCAAAAGGTTGAAATGGATCGTAATTAAAAGCTCTAAGGTCGAACATTAATCTTTTACAGAAACTTTGCGCCTGTATTCATATGGCAGAACATTCTTCAAGATTTTCTTTGCGTGTCATGGAGGCGATGAGGTCGTTGCAGAACGACGAGAATGATTTCCTGCCAACCTCCTCCGTCGATGATATCGTCGACTATATCCAGGAGAATTACCGCGACGATGGTGACCTTTACGCTCAGGTGCGAACCGCGCTGAAACAGGTCTGTTCCCAAGGGTTAGTTCTGCGTCAGGCGCAAATTGTGTCTCGCGTGAGACACGATCGCGTTTCAAGGCAAATGCAAACCGTTTATCTCGTTCGCAGACCGTGCATCTATCGACCAATTTCGTTCGCGGTTCGGACTGTTAATTGTAACGCTTCCTTTAGTCGAACTAACTCGATGAAAAACAATTTCTTCTTATACCTTAAGATTTGTCGAAGAAAGATTTTAAGACTCGAATTTTCGTTGTAAAGACAGCTATATTCATATTTCTATATCCTTAAATCGTGTCCCCAAATTACTGCATCCTTGATCGAATCATAATTACATGCATTTTAATATAGATTCGTTATGGAACTACTTGAAAATGAATATCATTTGATCGGACCACACGCCGCCTCCATGAACCAAATTACTTGTTCGAGAGGTCCAAGAGACTGTAAGTTTTCATCGCCGACAAAAACTCCAAAACGCCGAAAGAAAAATAATTCGGGAGACATGTGTATGTGCATAGCACCGTCCAAAACGGGACAAGTTATGAGCAAGCGACGAAGAGCTCTTACAGATGGAACAGTTAAACAATTAGAAAGAAGTAGATACTCAAACTTGAGGACAGTACGAGATAACCGCGAAGAAGATGAGGAAACTGAAACTTGCACGACTTTAACGGATGAAGAAGTAGGTACAGGTATGTACCAAAGAGGGACACAGAAGATACAGCATGCGTTGCAAAATAGAGATGGCCGTGAGGACGGAGGACGAAGAGCGATGGAAACTGGAGACGCAAGAAATGATGTAGTAACAGATATTCTAGAAGAGATCGTTGAAGATGATCCTGGAGCAAACACGAGGAACCATCAGGTGCCGCAAAATCGACTGACTAAGGATAAGCAAAGAGAAAGAGAGCTTGAAAGGTGGATTGAACGATGTCGAAAAGAATGCGAGCGACAGAAAAATCGACGAACCAATAATTAATTTTTTGTATCGATTTCGTAATTTCTACTAGAAACTTATATATATTACAGCCGATTTTTTTCTGCTCCTGTAAATGTATGCAGACTGCCTTTTTCACTGCAATTTAAAAATTTCAACATAAGTCTTCAAGTTTTACAAAAATATGTGTAATAATTTTATTGTACCTTTTGTATTATTTTACATGAAGTTCTTATTAGTATTGTATGATTTTATTTCGGATTTATTATTTTTTCTTCTCCTCTGTTTATTTAATATATTTTTCGTCCTTGGGATATAATGTTATATTTGGAGAAATCCGCAAAAATTTTCCAGTTCGATCGGTTGGAGTTAAGTATCCAGAGAGTACCGCGAACGAAAGTATATCTCGTATGTAGGACTTCACATCGCTATTTTCTAAAACATACGCAATATATTAATACTTATAATATTAGTATCAATGTCCTCGATCACCAATGCTAAATGTCCACTTATGCGATATAGTGGGCTCGATAATCGTCATTCAATATTCGTTCATGAGATACCGTGTGCTAAAAAGTTGCACTTTCCAAAGTAGTAATTTTACGAGACACATGTTTGTAGTGTAAGACAACATGGTGGACAATATTAGTACTACGTTTAAAATTTGCATTTTAATATTTAACGCAAATTATTTACCAGACAATTACTTAGCAATTATATAGTCGGTATTTATCAAATATAATTGTTCTGTTTAAAAACGATTACCTGCGTCTGGGTGTTTACGAGGTGGATGAATGGTTTTCCTCCTACGATGTCTCTTGCGAAATTTAGTGTACGCATTATTACGTTGTTTTCGAACGCTATCTAAATACGTTACTTTTTTTAAATACTTATACACCAAATCAGAAACTGTAGATTTTTGATCTTGTAGTCGGAGAAGATTTTGTTCAGGGTTTGTATTATTTTTGGGTCGAGTCGCTAAGCTACAAACATTTATTAATAAGAATAAAAGTAATTTTTAATTATTGCATTTCATTTACTTGACTTCCTCTTCTTTCGATCGCTCTGCCTTCCTAGTTTCAGAACAATAACCTCTGTTTTTTGATCTCATTCTGATTCTTCTAATTATATTTAAATATTCATTCAACAAAATCGGAAGGAAGCATTTAATAAAACCTTGTGTCGTTAAAGAAATTCTTAATTTTGATTGTTTTTATAAACTGAAATATTTTTAAGCAAACGGTACGAATGTGTCAAGAAACAAATTTATTTTACAATTTTTTACCGATGGTTGGTATTTTAGGTGGTCTAATATTATGTAGTTCTTTTAACAGCTACGTGTAGCGCTGTTACAGCGATGACAGTAGTTTACATCATGGTGATCTTGTAACTGTCAACACTAATTGGAAGAATAATGTTTCAAAAGGTGATATTTCTTTATATTTGGCGAAGATATTTCTTCTGTGTTTTAGTTGCGTGCACATTGCGTTCAATTGCGCGCGATTTCATTCGTGTCAGTTAGTTTTTCACTTGGGTTCATTATAGTTTCATGAACTTTACATTCAATCTACCTCGAATTTATTGACTTTCTTTAGACAATACTTTAAAGACACGTACATATAATAACATCATACTTATGAACTTTCACAAACATTTCAATAAATACATGACCATTTGATTTTTACAATTTCTAGGAAGTTATTAATATTCCTTTGTTATTTTAGGGGGCAGTTAAGAAGGCTTTGAGTACTAAAGATGTTCAGCAATCAAATGTCAAATCTAAATTGAAAAGTACATCTAGCAAAGATCTAGAGAAGAATGAAACATTAGATTTAAGACGTGTCAGATCATCTTTGAGTTCTGAACAAAAGAAACAAAATGACAGTGAATCAAAATTATCAAGATCCATTAAGGCTACATCAAAACAGTCAGTTAGATCTCCTGGAAGCAAGCCTGTCAAAGAAATTTTGTCCACTGTATCAAAACCAAATATAAATACTAAACTCTCTTCAAGAAATATTTCATCTTTTAAGACATCAGATACCTCTGCAAGGATATCAAGTAGTAGTACCATTACAAAAAGCAGCAAATCTATTGAAAAGATTCGGAGTGGTTATTCAGAAAAAAGAGGAATGAGTACAATATTTGTTCCACAATCAATGACAAGCAAGCTTAATGCTAGAGTAACTGACAAGAACTCTAAGCTAATTTCAAAGAGTGAAGCAAAAATTAAACCAAGTTCAACTGCAGAAGTAACTGAATCAAAAACAAAATCTAGACAACGTAAATTATCCAGAACATTGAGCCCTAGTGAAATAAAAATGTTACATTCTGCTGCAAAAAAATCAGACCCTATAGAGAAAGTAGATCAAAGTAAAGAAAAAGAACCACATACTGATCAAATAGATAATGAATTTGATTATGATGATGATTTTGAGGTAAAATCATAAAATTATTAAGCAAATGCAATTAATAAATTATAAAAATTTCTTTGCAGGATTATGAATCTGATTTTCAAGAATGCACAGATAGTGAAACATCTGAAGTAAGTGAAGAAACCAACAGTGATCACAATAATTTACTAGTGGATGCAATTGAGTTACAGAATACTTCAAAACAAGTATTAATATTTATTTTCGTATAAGACAACATTAAAGGTGATAAGTTATTTACTTTAAAAAATAAATTTATTATAGCGCAAAATTGTGAATAATACTGAACACAAAGAAGAAGAGCATATGCATGATTCTGGTCATTATGAGCTTACAGAAGCTAGAAGAAGAGCAGCAAGAGTAGAATCAATTGTAAATGATCCAAAGATATCTTCTCTTCTTGAGCTAAAACAACCAGTTAATAAATCATATAGGTTCGTTTTGAATAAAATCAAATTTTACACTGAGTAATGGTCCCTGTATAATTTGTATTACTTCTCCATTAAACAAATATGAAACAATTATATAATTATTGAACTGGTTTTTTGAATTGTAATTTAATATATGTACATTTTTAATGCAGTGAAGATAAATCGTTAGAAAATAAATCGTTACCATTATCTACCGATGAAGGCTTTGAAGATAGTCGTTCTGGCGATTTTACAAAATCACCACCGTTTTCACAGACATTCATTGAATTTCGTAAAACCAAAGAGGATACAAAAATAAAGGTGACAAATATACATTAAACAGAAATAATTACATTCTTTATAATTATGTGTAATTTTTAGAAACCTAAAAAGAATTTAAGCAGAGGAGAACAACTCTTAGAAATGATAAAATTAGATGTCATGGAGTGGTCTCTTTTGGAATGTTCGCCTATACCATACGAGGAATTTATTCGAAATTATGGAAAGTCAAATACACAACAAGTATGTTGGTTAAATAATAGTAACATTGAAGTATTACTAATTAAATAATTATTGTACTTGACTTATAGACATCTACCCAAACTGGTGAAGATAATATCGACGTAGAGGCACAAACAGAAAAGATTACATTCGGAAATAAATGGACTCAGTTCCCAGTAACTTGTAGAAATAAGTTACAAACCAAAGAAGATTTAGATCTGTTTAGAATGGTGCGTTGAGCTGTCTGAATACATATAGTGACTAAGCGATCGTAAAATGTAAAAATTTGCAGGATCAAATTGGAGTCGGGGATGATAATGATACTAAAATTATAAACTCTGCTACGTTATCGTCGTTTGATGTATTGCGATTGTGCGACTTTGTTACTCGCGCAGGAAGAGTTATATTGTCTTTAATTGAAGAAAGGCAATCTGGTGGTAATGTGTTTAAAGACGAAAAAGAAGTGCCTTTTAGCGACGGGGTTGTTAAACTTTCTATAGATTCAATCACATTTTTGGCTGGTAGAGCAGTGACATTAATTCATTATTCGGAGATTTTAAATAAAATATTGATGACTATTCATTCTGCAGTTGAAGAGGTAAGAATTGATTATCTAGAAATCAAAGTTAAACAACGAAAAGTATATTTTACAATGTTCTCTTTAGGAAATCGAAACATCTAATAAACAAGATTACATAACTGATTGTTGTATTGGATGTGTTTGGAATATATCTGAACCGTCCATGCCAATAAAATTATTTTATTCTCCGTGTCCTATTACTGCATGCTGTTTCCATTTAACAAACTATAATGTTGTGTTTGCTGGTCTTCAAGATGGGTATGGTACTTCATCATCTATTTTTAATTACTGTTATTGCATGTTTCAATGAATCCGGTAAATATTTTAAATAATAGGTCGATAAGCCTTTGGGATTTAAAGGAAGATGAAATGTGGCATCATAAAGTAATAGATAAAGAAAATAAACGAAATTGGACGATACGAATGTCCACTTATACAACAACGACAAATACAGAAACAAATATTCATACTTCACAAATTGTTGCAATACGTGTATTATCCAAAATTGAAGTGCAATCGTTAGAGCGGCGTAGCAATAAATTCGTACCAATACAGGTTTGTTAAAACTGCTGTATATATTATTTGAAAATGCTTGATTAACACCGTTCTATTTCCTAAATTAACAGATATGTAGCCTAAATGAGAATGGTTCTATGGTAATATGGAGCGTTTTACATGATATGGGAATAAGTGTTGACGATTTGGGGTTGTCGTTTTGGGGCAGCGTAAGACTGGTGAAAAGTCAAGAAGTTTTCTTACAATCTAATAATCGAAACAAGTAAATATTTTATAGCAGTTAACGCTCTATGTATAAAATGTAGATCTCATTGAAATTCTTTAACTATTCCTAAGGATTGATGCAGCTACGTTTATTGATATGCATGTGGATTGCGTTGATAATAACAATCTTTATGTTGCTACTAACAGTAGCAATATTTTGCATGCTACTTGCATTGGTAACAAAGCTAATCCTGCTGTATACAAAAATTTTGATACTAGTAAGTTACAGATAACACAACCCAAGTTTATTTAACGTTTTACTAATTTATTACGTTTAATATTTTAGATCTTTCTGGAAACGTAACTTGTCTAGAGATATGTCCATTTCAACACTCTTACTTTCTGGTAAACTCTTCAGTGTTTTTATGTTTCTAAATTATGTTGTTTATAAAATGGTTTTATTTTTCATTGTAGGTTGGTTGTGACGATGGAACGATTCGATTACATTCTTTAAATATTGAAAAACCAATTTTACAATTAAGAGAAGAAGATAATGAATATAAAATAAAATCGGTGCAATGGTCAAAATCAAAACCATTCACAATTTTTGTATTGGACAATAATTCAAAGTAAGAAAGACAAACAAACGACAATTACTGATTACTATAAATGATTTAAATACTTTTATAATACATCATTATTGTAGCATACACGTGTGGGATTTAAGTAATAGTGATATACATCCAACGTACGCGGTGAAGATGCAAAACAGTGGGCATATAAGCAGTATGCAATTATCTTCCTGTAAGACGGAACAGGACATGGCCTATCAGTACTTGGTACTTTGATTTTCAGTGTACATCATAATTTATTGTACAAAACCAGTATGTCTAACACAGTGTTTTCAGGCATTTGGAACGGAAACTGGAACTGTAGAAATACACAGACTAAAAGGAAATGTTTATTATTCAAAAAAAGAAGATTGTTTAAAAGAATTGAATACTTTTCTACGATATATCGCGATTTTATAACAAACAGAATGTTACATAATATTGGAGCCTTTTATACTTCCAGTGAACCGAGACATGGACTTTGTACTCCTTAATTTATATATTTAATTTAACTCATATTTAAAAGACAATCTTGTACAGTAGTGATAGAATTGTCATACTGTTGTTAATATTGTATTTTCTTTTCTCACAGAAAGTTGAAAGAGAAACTTACACAGTGTGTGTATTTGAAACATTTTTTAATTGTTATATTTGCAATTAGTAAGAATCACAATTTGTACAAAAGTAGTAGTCATTTAATGTGCACATTCTTCACGATCATGCACGAAACCGAAGCCGTCCAAAAATTATATACAAACGATAATTTTATAATATAACAAGATATTTCAACGATATACTATTAATAAAAATATTACTCTGAAACTAATTTTTATTAATCTAAGTATCACTTCATCCCAGCATAGATGTGCTAAGATTTCTATACACTTAGAAAATGAAGGAAAATATTTATTCTTACTTATTTAATGCTTTACTTAAAAATACAATAAAAACGGAAATAAAAATCATATTATTGCAATAGAAATTTAAACTTTTCGCGCCGCTGCAATGAGATTGCTTTACAAGATCGTCGATAATATCACCGTAACTTCGTACTCGTTGCATCTGGTGCACATTTATTTGTAAATGTTGCGTTTCTTCCTGCAAAAAAAGAAACATTTGAATTTGTCATTAATATTTCGTGTTGATTTATACATACAGTAATTGTTCGTAAAATTTCACGTTACATATTTACAATGTGCGATTATTGTTGCTGGATCGATCAAATTTTAGCAAGGATCAGAGAAGAGATAAAAACAGAGACAACAAAGACCAAACTCCATGTAGATCCTGTTGTAATAGTACATGGAGGTGCAGGAAAAATACCATGGAAAGAACGTCAACGTATGCTTCTTGAGGTTGCAAACAGCATTTCATTAACTATTATTACCAATTTAAAAAATGTTTGTAAAGTCGTTTGATTTGTAAGGATGGTAAAATTTGTAAACTCTGATAGGTTAAAAATGCAGCGATCGAAGCATACAGCGCTCTTATCAACGGCCGGTCAGCGGTGGACGCGGTGGAAAAAGGAATTTCCTACATGGAAAGTCAACCCCTCTTTAATTGTGCCAAAGGAGGTTCTTTAGATGTTAATGACGAAATTGTAATGGATGCTGGTATGATGACTGTAAAGGATGCTGGTTGCGTGGGCGCTGTTCGTGACATAGAACATCCTATTACCTTAGGTCCGTTTTAATTATAACTTTAGTCCTAACCTTTTATCTAAAATATTTTAATCACGCCATAGCAAGAAAGGTGTTAGAAAATACAGAACACGTGTTAATCGTTGAAAGTGGAGCCCAGAAATTCGCCTTAGACCACGGAATCCCAATTTTACCGCCAGGCGCGCTAAGAGTACATGATTCCCTCATATCAGACTATTCTAACGAACAAGAGTCATTTGAATCTTGTACAACAATCGAATGTCCAAATGACTTGAATCAAAAGGAACACGATAAAGGTGAATGGCAAGGTATCGACGGAAATGAAAAATGTGATTCAAATTGCGTTTTGAAACGATCTATCGAAGGAGAAGCATATCCCTGTCGCACATTATCGTTCGATTCGGATTTTGAACTACTCGTTCCACAGGTGCACCTTACTTTTTTGATATAATTAATTATTTAAAAAATATTTACAGTGTATTGTAAATAATAAGTAAGACAATTGTGACTAGGTTGGTGCAGTTGGAGTGGTTGCATTCGATCGGAAAAAACGCTTAGCGAGCGGTACATCAACGGCGGGAGAATCGAGAAAACCGATTGGTTCCATAAGCGCAACTGGTACAGTTATAGGTTGCGGCATTTATACAGATGAACATGGCTGTGTTTCCGTTTCTGGCAACGATACGAACATTTATTGCTATGCTCCTGCACGAAGAATAATTCGTAATTTATCGCGGGGTGCTGCAGTAAGCATCGCGGTAAATACGGTACTCGACAATTTTGTACAAGAAATTGGAGAACATAATATAGGTGCTATTGCATTAAACGCGAAAGGTGAACCTTACGTTTCTTTCAAATGTTTGCATTTTCCTTGGGCCTTTTGTGAAAAAGGTCATGTCTATTATGGTTCAGCACAAAATGAAAAATTTTGGGAGAAAGTGGATGTACTTGAACGACCTTTAGACTGCATGTGCATTGATTCTGACGATGAATAAATATTTAATAGACTCAATATTCTTGTTATTTAGATTAATAAGTAAAAATACATTTTTACATACCGGAAATATGATGCTATGATTCGAATCATACATTCCATACATTGAAAATGCAGGTGTTTGACCTTTGAAGGAGTTCCCGAAAAGTTTATCCATTTCTAGTAACATCGTGTAGATCTCTTCTTGACGTAAATCCGTTATATTCTCATTAGCTATCACCTATGAACATATGAAACTCAGCATGGTTTATATAATATTTTAATTATACCTTTGTTGTAAAGAAATTACCGCACTCAATGGAGCCCACGCAAGCAAACACGCTTCATCGGTATCCATTTCATTGAAACATAACGTTCGGTAACCTTTCTTTCTTGATTGACTATTGTGATTTTGCGTTGAACTACCTATAAATTACGTCTTTAGTGAGTTAAAATGCACACTACCCGTGCATTTATGTAAATAATTATCAAGATATTTACCAGTTTTTTCTTCGATATTCTTCAGATTAACGAAAGCTACATCTCCGAGGCCGGACATCATACAGTCAAAAGCATTCAAATCGTTTGAAGCACTACTTGCTACGAATTAAATGTTTACATTTAAATCATCTGTCCTTTCTTGCTAATGCACATGTACTCACCTTGTTTAGGTAAAGGATAGAAATTATTTGGCATTTGCTCATTACTGTCTTGTAAACCAATAACAGAGCTCTTCTCGAAGAAATTTCCAACCATGTTCGCATCCAAGCAATCGGATTTGGAATTTGTAATATTTTTCAGAGTAGTCACGAAAACATTCCATCCTGTGAAGAAATAGTTTCAAGACACATCCTGGGCTATAACTAGTTACGCCAATGATACTTCATCCTTACCGACGTCCTTGTATCCTGTGAAGCATGCTTTGGTTCCCTTCAGGTCTTTCAAACTCTTGAACCATGAATCCTGTTTTACTACTGCCGCGATTCTGACGAACTGATTATTCTTCTTAGGTGTTGCTTGCAAGATCGTTTTAAGCCCCATCCTGAAATAACATTGTATGTACTATAAAGGATGTCTTCTTTCCACAAACTTACGAATGGTATTTACTAACTTTCTAGCCTCGAACAGCTCTTCCGGTTTGACGACAAATATATCCGCTCGCTGAGTTTTCAAAGCCTTCAAACACGATGCTCTGGTCGGCTCTTGGATGCAAGAAATAGCTGGTTCTATACCGTAAACGATAGAAGCTTCTCTGAGCCATCGACATTTCTTCTCTTCCAGGTTGGACGCGATGCACCATCGTACTCTTCTGGATGGATTGCACGTTGCTCGATTGTTGGCGCTCATAAAGCGAGGAACTATAATTACACATAATTACTATAATTAATATATAACGTATTTGATGTTCCATCAGTTGGAAGATCAGACACTTCAATGAAAAAAGAAAGTATGTTTCAAAAGGTTTATAAAAGACAGTTATTCTATAAGAAGATTAGAAACGTTTTCTTTGTTTGTCAACGTTGTAATTAATTGTTAATTACATCTGATTAGGAAGTCTTCCGGCGTTTCCAGAATATCTGTGCTCACCGGCGTTGGATGATAGTCTTCTAATAGGTTGCGAAGAATCCAGCCGTACTTCGTCTTCAAGGAGCTCATCAACTTCTCAACCTTTTCCGCTATCTCTCTGGTAAAATGCAACAATCGCTTAAAATTGGTACTCGTGGTACTGTCCAGCTTATAACGTTTTTACTAACGATCTAGCTACAATCACTGGCCACGGTTTCGTTATCCAGACACAAGGTTTGTCGAACTTTACGGGCCTCGTTGTACCATCGGGACAAAGATACTTGTAATTTTCCTTGTTGATCTGTTCATCCTGTTACCACATATTGTTTCGTTAGCTGATAGAAATGAAGCGTTGCAATTATTTAAACAATCCTCTAATTGTTTTGAACAGATCAGAAACTATTTTATCTACCTTAAAATGTTCTAGGGTATCATTTAATCTGACCCATGCTATGTCACCTGCGTTATCAGTGAGGCACAACAAGGCACCCTCCCGACCGTGATACTTATCATTTGAGTAGCAGCCAACCGACTTATCGCACGCGGCGCAAAGATTCCTGTACTTCGATTCTACGAGTGAGAGGATCAAAGTAATTCTGCATAAGCGAAGGTAAGAACTGGTAAGATTATACCGTGAAAGCACTCACTTAATTTGTTGCCGAATATAGAATCCGCGGACCAGGGACCAGCGATACACGCTGCGCCGAAGAATTTCGACAAACTGGCCATTCTGTTCTCCAACAGCGTTTTCTCAGGATCGCATTCTCTTAGTATTATCCACTTTTCGAAGTACTATAAATAGGACGAACATTACTAATTGAAATTGTCTCGTGTAAACGAAGAAATTATCTTTCATATGTAGTATGAATAGTTTTGATTGTTAAGACATTAACCGTGGAGAAAGCGTTAGTCCAATCATCGGTAGTGTCGAGTCCAGGATGGCAAAAGACTTTATCCTTAACATCCCATATATTGTTAACGTTCTCGTGAACCAAGACTACCATTTCGTAACGTTGCTTCTCTACGAATGTGAGAACAAAGATAGAGCATCAATGCTACAATATCTCGAATATACGAACAACTTGGATTGGCGTTCGATTTACATTGTAATTACCATCTGGGAAAAGTCTTAGTTCATTTGTGACTAGAATGTTGTATTCGTTGTACGCGGAAGCCGCGACGAGATCTTCCGGTTCCAACACGGCAAAATCGGCATTGCCCATGGTCAGTCGTCGTAGGCAATTGAATCTATGCAATTCAACGTCATGTTAAAGCGAAAATTTCAGTGGACTTTGATGGACAATGTTTTATACGAGATTTGTTAATTTTTGTATGAATTTTTTATACTCGCCTATCATTTCCTATAACACACTCTACCTGACTCCCTGTATTTACCAGTTGCGGGCATAGTTTACTGATCTTTTTTGAAGTGTGAATACTTTCGACCACGCATAGTTTCACTGAAAGGTCATCCTTTTTATTTACTTGGAAATTACAGTCAAATTGCATACTGCTCTCGGAAGACATGACCTTAACATGATTTTCATTTGCATAGTTTTAATATTTATTGTTTGGTTCGCGATTAACAATCGAGTAGTTCGAGCAATGTGCAATTTTGGCTACAACAGGTATAACAATTCCAATTTCGAAAATAATATTGATAGCTCAACAAATTCATAGAATCATACATTTGACCCGTGACATTTATTCACTGAACATCCAGCACTGAATTTATTTTGCATACATAATGCTATCATTGTCCGTACCATATAATAACATTTCGTATACTTACAGTGTTCGGCGCTTAAATGTTCATAGAAGAACATATGAATAAACAGTAGAATAAACAATCGAGCATTCATCTTCGGTGTGTAGCCAAGCAACATTTGAAGACAAAAGATTTGTAAGTTTTTAGTCACTTGGTAACGAAATTCGAGTGGAATACTTTTTTAACTTGTAATTTCACTGTTCCAGATATAGCACTATTCAACACCTACTTGAATTTGTAATCAACTTAATTCTGTTTAAACTGAGGGTGATATTTGAAGTACAGAATATAGAAACGTTCGTCGAACATTACATTAATCTTTTACGAGAAGTACCATCAAAATCAGTTTCGATGGAACACTTTGATTGGAAGCTACGACGACATTAGTGAAACAGTAAACTTTTGCGTATTCTTTACTAATTAAACAGACCGCAAGATGACATCATCAACTGAATGTACGATCATCGAAACAGGAGTTATCTCTTGTGCTCGTCCGACGTATCTCTGCGGAACAGAATACCGGATTCTCCTCATACGTGACCAGTTCTTTCTTTCCCTATACGTTCAAACCGGACCACTTTCACGCTCGAAATAAATAAGATGATAACACGAAAATAACGCCAGAATGTATTACGAGAAAAAATCTGACGATTTGATCGTACTGAATGAAAGTTTAACTGGGTAACTACTGAAGACACAACAGGCGATGATCAGAAAGTTTATCACATGGTGCTCGAAACACATGAAGGATTTCTTTGCGTTCGACGTGTATGCACACATGTAGCTGCACGAAGACTGAATTAAATCTACGCTGGCTGTTGATGCGACCAAAACTCCAGTAGGGAACTGGAATTATTGACGCTGGTGGGGGCTGTGCGTAATACACGCAGAGTTACTGTAGACGATGTTAATGTTCCACGATAGCTACAAATGAATCCGAATGCTGAGGAACTGCAGTCATTGGCGTAACTGAGATTTTTAGCTGCGATTAAACTCATTAGTTTTAATTGCAGTGTCAACATTGCACATCATAAAGTAGCTTTTAGAAATTTAGAAAGTTAAGAATTGCGGGACTTGGAAATTTAAAGAAAATTTGTAATTTAAAATATTCCTAAAGTTCACATTTAATGTGGACCAGTCCTACTTTACTAAATTGTATTCACTAGGTAGCGAGTGTTATAAAATATGACATTTTCTGCGCAAAAAATTGATCTCTTGTATATACAGCTGATGATTATGTTTGATCTTTCCGCGTACTTTCCCGATGAATCTACTTAGTCACAGTATTATGAAATTCGCAGAACAGTAAACAGAGCTGTCACTAGAATTTGCAGTGCCCGAAGTAAAAATTGACTTGAATATTGTATTTTCCGGTTTGAAAATTTCTGAATTTGTACATTTAAAAATTTGAACACTGAACCCTCAAAAACACTGGGTTCTGCGTAAATGCCTCATTCGCTTGACGCTAATGACAGCATAATATTACATCGCGTTTCTTAACATTACAAGCTTCTCTAGCAATGACAATTTCTCCTTATGTTAGTCTGTTCATACAGCAACCTGAGTCACCCGACAATTGCTACTGAATTACTTTGTTAATGCTGCAATTGTCAGAAACGACGATTGCTGGTATATTATTGACATTCATATGTAGATACGTAGACACCAAATGTAGGAACTATCATTCTCTGTCGTCAATACTATTTTTTTGTATTATATAAAGATAATTGTAAAATGTAGTTCAGCATATATAGTTTCATATTTTAAATAATTTTTTCAATTTGTAATACTGTTAATATATAAACATAAATAATGTGTATATATACGTATCTAGTGAAAGACAAATTTCCTATCATTAAGATAATTTTAATTAGTATTGGGAGTAACATTTCTAGTATGTTCTGATACTCCTCTTAGATTTCATATTATGAATAATTTACTATTTCCTAAAATAATTTTTTATTTATTTTTATCTAATACGTGTTAAGTAAAATTTAATTTTCTCTTCTTAAAAACTTATTTTTCATTCTTACTTTTTAATTTATAGCTAATTGGTCGTTTATTTAAAAAACTCAACTTTTGTTTTGATAGTTTCAGCGCTTATCGTTAGATGGTGCTAAGTATCGTTTTTGAAGTATGGATTGAAACAATATTAAAAGACATAAATGTGATTGTTCAATGATATAATTTGTTGAATTAATAAGTTAATAATTTTGTGCTTATATTGTAGTTAAACAGTTGTATCATTTTGTAGCTGTATTCTATATTCGAAGGTATAACCATTTAACTATATAAGGCGGGAATTTAAAGCCATATACATCCTTCTAGACAAGTAGTTTTTGTCTAGTATGTCTTAAGATTACCGCCGTCTACAAATTGTTCAATGAAACTCTTGCACCTAGAGAATTTTGAGAGATAGTTTTTTTTAATTAACGTAATACTTTAAAAATTTGATTATTTAGAATTTTAGATGTACAGAAATTAATAATTTTTAAATTGAGAAATTAACTGCCCATGAATACCGCGTATGTACGCCACTTGCATATTCGTGCATGGTGCTTTCTATCTTATACTTTTTCTGCGGAAATATGTATTCTGAGAGAAACAAAGCGGTTGTTGTTGGTTTTGAATATGTCGTTGCTATTATCATTTAGCAATTGTAATGAATAATTAAATTTATATATAAAACACATATATGTATAAGGAGTTTATTTTTGGTTAAAATTAATTGTTTGATTCAAAGTGATTGCTTCTAAATATTATTTAATTTTAATTTGTATGTTTTTATAAATATTGTGTACTTGTAACATCTGCATAATGTCTGCTTCTGAAAATTTACGGCGATCTTCTCGAATAAAAGCTCGCGTTAAAGGTAATATTAATAGTAAATAATATGTTGAAATAATAATTATAACAAATTTAAAATATTGAATTCATTTACAATTGCAGAAGGTAAATGTATAAAATGTATGTCAGGAGATGAAGATGAGGATCATATCTTGCACTTACCAGATAACACAAAAAGTGAACTTAAAAATGTTGAAGAAATTGTACAAAAACCAGTTGGTAATTTTTGCAGTAAAATATTTTATTCATACATTGTTGAATTCTTTATGCATTTTAAACTATTAAATCATATATTGTTTATTTAGAACTGTTTTCAAATGACGATGTAAGTGGTCAAATATTGTATGGATTTCAAACACGAACTAGAAAGGATGCTATGACACAAAAAGCAAACCTGTGTCGCACACCAGTTAGTTCAAAGAAAGAAACAGTTCGTGAGCCAAAAGTTATCCTAGAGAAATTGGATTTAGGTGACAAAACACAGACAAATGATAAAAAGATTACTATGAAGGGTATAATTTCTTATCTTGATTCATGATAAAATATAGTGTTACTGAAGTAACAGTAACATGGTATTGTTAATCTACTGTTTATTTTTAAATGGCTAGTTCCTGTTCGTCGAAAGTTTGAATCTGGATTAACATCAAGTGAAAGCGAAAGCGTGTCAGATTCTAGTGACTATGTAGCATCTGATAGTTCTGAAAGTGAATCAAGCGAAAGTGGGGATGCTGATTTCAGTAATGATGAAACAGATAAGATTAAAACAAAAATTCAGAAACACAAAATTATGTTGCAATCAAACTTGTTAAGTACACCGAAAAGAGAAAGTAGGAGAAACAAACCAATGATTATTCATAAAGATTTTGTAAGTAGATATATAATATACATAACTTTATAGTTCAAATAAATCATTTATAACAATGTTTAATATTTTTACAGCATCTGAAGTCTGATGAGTATTTTACAATGCAATCAGATAGGGTAACTACATCTGATAGAACATTAGAACATTTACGTAATTCACATTTAACAAAAGAAAAATTAGAACAATTATTATCAGATGAAAATTATATAAGTGTACAACATAAGAAACATATATGTTCTTTGACAGAAAGTAATACCACATTATTTCCTATATGGTACTTTATTATGGAGTGAGTGTTAAATAAGATATTAAACTATTGAAAATTTTTAGCTTTCTGCTATTAAAATGATGTTTTATTTTATGATAGGCAAGGTTACACAGTATTACTTTATGGCTTAGGATCAAAAAGATGCTTAATTAATGATTTTCACAAGAGCATATCACATCACCCATCGCTAGTCGTGAATGGATTCTTTCCTAGTTTAACTATAAAGGATGTAAGTTGTATAAATACAATTTAAATATTAGTACAATAAATTAATTTATACTATTATGTTTTAGATTCTAAATAGTATAATCGTTGATTTACTGGAGTTGAATTGCCCTAGCAGTCCAAGTGAATGTACAGATATTATAGAAAATGTGTTAAAGAAAAATCCAAATGATAGACTTTATTTGCTAATACATAATTTAGATGGTATAATGTTACGTTCAAATAAAGTTCAGGATGTACTGTCGTGCCTTGCAAATATACCAAACCTTTGTGTCTTAGCATCGGTTGACCATATCAATGCACCATTATGTATGTCTAATTTTGTAAGAATGCTACGTCATTATACTTTTTATCATTATTACATGTCTTCGCGCTTGCAGTATGGGACCACAAGAAACGATCTAAATTTAATTTCTTTTGGTGGGATACAACAACGTTTTTACCGTACAAAGAAGAAACTTCTTATGAAGGATCACTTCTGGTGAAACAAAGTGGAGCTCTTGCTTTATCTTCTCTTCATAATGTTTTCCTTTCGTTAACGTCGAATGCAAAATCGATATACATATTACTTGCTAAGTACCAACTCAGCAATAATACTAACGCTAATTTTGCTGGTAATTTAAACCTTCTACTTTAATAGAATGTTGCATTATTTTACGTAATTTTTTATGTAACATCAATTTTTATTGACAGGAATGGCATTTAAGGATCTCTATCGAGCTGCTCGCGAAGGATTTCTCGTAAGCTCAGACTTAGCATTAAGAGCACAATTGACTGAGTTTATAGATCACAAATTAGTAAAGGTAAAACGCAACATTGATAGTGTTGAACATCTTGTAATTCCGTTAAGCAATGGACTTCTAAAACAATTTTTAGAAGAACACGAATCATAAAATTTTTACTGATATATTATTTATTTTTTATTCTTAAACATATTTGCTAATGTTACCTTTTATACAATAATCCCGAAGAAAAACAAAGCATTGTACAAAAAATAAACAAAGAATTTATAATTATTCAAGAATCTAAATAATGTATAAGTTCTTCAAATTACATTAGATTTTAGAATATAAAGTGAAGTATTTAATAATAAGGAATTGCAAGTATTTGTAAGGATTTTTTGTTTAATAATACAAAAGCATATTTAACTCTATCAAACAATTATAAAATTCTTATTTTCATTAAAAATAAAGGTGTACATTAGGGATGTATGGTAATCGACATTACGAACAAGGTCAAATTTGGAAAAATTCGGTACCTTAGTGTACGTGATATTCGATTTGGAATTGCATTTAAACTGAATTGTATTGCGATTGAAATTTATTTGTTTCGGATATCTCGTATATCTCATATTCGAAATTTAGAAATTGCAAAATCATATATTTTCAAATTCCTGAATTCCTAATTTTTCAAATTTTAAATATTTGAAGTCTCGCGCTTTTGTATGTAAAATTTCGGTTTCCCATCCGATCCTACCCGAATTTTTCCGAACTCGACCCGAACCGTAAGTACCCAACATTCCTAAATATATACCAATACCAGTACGTAAAACGTGTTGGTATTATTTCAAATGAAGCGCCAGTGGCAACATCGTGCATTATGTTTTTCGTGCGATTTTAATGTGATAGCCGGTTAGTGATTAGAGTATAGCAATTGAAACGATGTCAGATTATGGTGATACGCATTAGCAAAAAGTTAAATGAGCGAAGGCTCATTGTACGCGTATTTGCTCCATGATTCGATAGGTAATTACATTGTTAAAAATTTCTACTTCTTGCGATTTTAAATCCAATTGTTGGTCACGAAGAAATGCAAAATACATTTATGCACATAATATATGATTACCGGCTTGTTATTCGGTTACATTTCAACTTAACCTAACCTAACTTCTCATTGCATATAGAATTTTTAACGAGGTTATTCAGTCGTGTTGGAATACTCGATGTTTTCATAGCTACTGAACAATGTCGTAAGTTTATTAAATATGTTAGTGCGTGAATATGTGTATGTGCATATGTGCAACATTGCGTGAATTGCAGTTCCGATTTGACATTGTAAACATGACGACTTGACCTTACAATGGCAAGTTGGACGACCTTGACTTTGGCAAGTATACAATGACCGTGTAGTTGGTTTTGTCGATTAAAAATAAGGTGGTTGTATCATAGATATATTGTTCTATAAAATTTGTTTAATATGTAACTAAACATAGATAATAACACTTGAATATGAGTCAAAATTTCGAGAAGGTTATCTGTACTAAAATGAAGATAATTGTATTTAAAATCGTCATATTTCATATGTACTGAATAAAAATAACTTCCTGTAGAGATATATTTTGAAATATTACAGGAAAAAGCTATTTTAAATCTTCATAAAAAAACTAGGGGGTTATAAGAGCATGTACTATGAATTACTCCAAAAAAGAAAGATAAAGTTAATTTACTACACAATTTTAGAAATAAAGCTTGATGAGATTTGAAAGTATTGCTTGATCCACTTAGTGGATCAAAATCATTTATTCATAAGTTTCTTGGTTATCTGAGGTTTTAGTAATTTTATGTACTATTTAAAAGCTGCCATTTAAATATCTAAACAAAGATATTTGAATTTTAACATATATATTTCTTTTTGTTATAGGTGATCTATGAACACATTTCTCATGACATAGTGGTAGTTGCTGTGGCACACATGTTTCGGTGAGTCATTTACTTTATGTTTAACTTTATGATAAGCTATCTTGATATTGGCAGTGATATATCATGCAATATAGTACCTTGTATTTTGCTTAATATTGCTTTCTCTTAAATTTAACTTCATTATATATTGCAGACAGTTGTTTTATCTATTAAAATAAATAATACTGCATTATGTATTTGATTTATCTTGATAATTAATAATACATAGTTATGTATATTTAATAGCATTAATATAATTTACTGCATCTTGATACAAAAGTTTTTAACACGATACACGGTAAAGATATTTAAGTAGAAAGTAACAGAACTCAGTCTACCATGATACATTATCATTTTATACTATTAGAAAACTGAAAAACTTATCTTACACAATATGTATGATTATCAATGCTATAGAAAAATGATATATCAGTGAGACAACTGATTATTTTATTACATAATCATTATATGAAAAAATAGAACACGAAGATTAGAATATGGTCGTGTTCTAAATGTTATTCATTGTAAATGTGTACATATTTTTTACGCAAACATAGTGTAAGTTTATGTATGATATGTCCTTACATTAATATGCATTATGTGGTTAACTTATCATATGTATATAAAAGACAGTTTATCGACAGTTTATCCGTCTTTATCGACAGAATCATCCCTATTGACAGTCCTTTGAAATTTCACAATTTCTACCGCTAGATATCGTTCATGACAGTTCGTGTTTTATAACGGTTTTTGGAAGTCGTGTTGTAGAATAAAATTTTCAAATATTCTGTGACAATTTACTTGTTAAAAACGAAGCGATATAAAAGTTCGTGTTATTGTAATAAAAAATGAAAAATTTGAAGTTTCGTCAACGAAAGTTTGTGAATACGAGAGAAAGCCGTCACATAAGTAAGTACATGACATTTCAAAGAATAATTTATTAGTACATTTAAAATTGAGATACATCGCATTGTATTCTATTCTACGTGAGACGTCGTTTCCACAATAGATAAACACTCGGTTATTTGTGCTAAAGATAAATGTGGTTAATATTAGATAGCAATTATTATTGTTATTGTTATGCCGGAAAAATAACAGTTTCGCAAGATTTGTAACTTAACTTCGTAAATTACAAATTTAAAATATCTGTCATGGACGATGACTACGTAACTCAGTACACTCACAATTATTCGTCACGAGTGTTTCATTTAATCATCCACCACGATTGCGTTCTACTAACAACGAGATTAGATTTAAATGTAGAGCGATAAATACTTAAGAGAATAATTAACGTTGATAACATTCGTCGTATCGATATACTCGTTTTTTCGGTCCCTTTGTTTTTCTATCATCGTAGCTAATATCACGTAACGAGGCCTATGCAGATTTCACTTTTCTCAAGACAAACCAATTTCACCTAGTGGTCTGTCTTCTTCAATAGCCATTACCTTTTACTTTCTTGCCAATTTATTCGGTGTGAGACTTTAAACGATATTTATCACCAACAAAATGACAAGATATATGTTCTTCTATGTACTCTATTAGTGTATGTTTATCAGATAATTGTTAATATGTAAGATTTAACCAAATCCAAGCAGCGTACTTCAATTGAATTCAGCATATAATTCAACATCGAATCAATACGTCGCAAATTGAATGCCCGTAAAATATGTTCGTCTAATTAGTAACTACATTAATTAGTCCACGCATTTCTTGAATGAATCTCACTACGAATACATTGATCTTTCATTCTCGGAATTACAAAATCGCACGGTCGATAAAACAGTTTGGGGATTTTTTGCCGACGTTATCCAACGAGATAACGTAATTTGGACGAATGTAAACGAGCGTCAGAGGATGCTCTGCGAAGAAACGGATCATTTCAATTTAAGGGCAGCCCGTTGTCGAGGGTGGGGGCTTTCATACGACACAAAGCCGTGCTCGTGAACGCTTAACCAATTTCCGCTTGTTTTACCAAAATCGAGGTCGTGGAGCCGTTAAGCGTCAAGGATCACTTACGATCATCAAGATTCTACGTGTATGACTCATGGAACTCTTTTTATCTCGACTATGATTCTTTCCATATGCGTCCTCGTCGTTATACACACGCGTTCAAATAATCTTCCATTGGTTAAGTATCGACCTCATCTCGACGTCACATTCAGTTTACTTTCGCAAGTTTTACTTATGTGAATCGAGGGAGGTTGTACTCTATGTTTTTACATTCGTGGGTGTTTAAGACTACATTTTTTTTCAGGTTATTATTCACTACTGTTTGCTTTACTATGTTTTTACATTACTTTGTTTATTTCAAATTATTGTATTAAATAAAATGGTGAGCCACCTCTGGAGCGCAAAGGGTTAATATCTTTTCCTACATGTTTTTCTTAGATTTGTCCCAAGTTCATCTTTTAATAGACTCACCATTTCCCTCAGATCTGTCTTCCTCCTACATCAACCTTTCCTTTAGGTCTGTGCATAGATTCTGGCAAAAGCAAAGACACGTGTAAGCGTTCTTACTGTAGATATATTTATTGTTGTTAGCGACAATGATCGGTATTTGAGTTAACAGGCGTCGATTTAATCGCGTATTCGGCATCCTGATAAAACCGGTTCAATCGATAAAGCTCGGCGCTCCGTTCTGCGGAAAAGTTATCCGGCTGTACCCGGTAGTCCGGTGCATTTATCCGGTTCTTGTCGATTCCCGGTTCGAAGTGGAAACTCTAGCCCAGCCACGGCATATTAAATATCCCCGAGACGAGGAGAGCACGACCGGCTGCTCGAGGGTGAACGCGCAACTTTGCCAGACCCTGTCGTCTTTACCCGGCAATTCCAGCGTGTTTCTCCCTCGAAGCTTGAACGCACGGGGAAGGAAGCACCCTCGAAAAAAAAGCATACTCGTATTTGGCGATTCCTTTTCACGTGCAACTCGTTCCATTCCCCTTTCAACCTTCCACCGGATTGTTCTCTACGGCAAAACGAGTTTCCCTCTCTGCCATACACTCCCGTCCATAACTTGCGTTATTCGCTTACCGCTTTAAATTAACACCGTTTATGTACATTTATTTATTTACCACTATTTTTCATACGATAAATTTCCTTCCTTCGTATGAATTATTAGTATGCTTTTGTATTATGGATATCGAAGCTTATTTTTCTCTTTAGAGCACCCATGTATTTAATGACTCAAACAATCCAAGTAATAGACGAAATTTTGATTTCAATCTTAGATGTTCGATTTGATCATTGTAATTCTGTCTTCACATTTGTTGCGACTACTCTAGACATTCATACGGTCAAGCAAGTATCCCATGATTTTAGTACTTTCTTGTAATCGCTAATACTTCGTCAAGAAGAAAGGAAAAGAGTTCGATGAAAATCATGTCGATGAGCAACAACGATTATTGGTAACAGACATGCCAAGACCCTTTTCTCTGCCTCTCTCCCGGCTTCTCTTCAACCTACGTATGACCTCGATAATAACAGTTATGAAACTTGGCCGCGATAGTGAAAGTGGCGTATACAGGACGTTTCATAATACCGACGATGTCGCCAAAGCGGTGGGCAAGTGCTGGGAAGAAAAGAATATTTGATCGTCGAATAAGTTCCTATCGAAATTGTTGCGGAGAAAAGAAATTATTCTCATTTTCGAATTATACGAATTATCTTTTACTCGTGTATCATAGAATATTTCCGTAGAAAGTATAGGCAAGGGATAAAGCTTGCTATCGAGAAGTTTAATTAAGAAAAACTTGGGCAAATTGGCCGATTTTATCGATCGGTTTTAAATTCCGTCAACGATTTGTAATTCGATGGAGAATTCCGAGTACTTTCTAAACAACTTTTTCGCGTAGTCTTTCCCTATAATCATCGGACAAATACACGTAGATTCGTCCGGTAATACCGGTAAACAATTTGAATGTAACTATCTGTGGCTTGTTCGACTGAAAGTTTAAAGGCAGACGCGTGGAACGTTCTCCGCGAAGAGAAAGGGTGCGGTAAGAAGCGAAGCGAGGCGAGACGAGCCCGTAAAAAGAAGAAAAGAAAAAAAAGGAGAGAAAGAAAGAAGGAAAAAATGAAAATAGAAGTCGACGACGTTACAGAAAATAATTGCGGGTAATGCAACTCGCGCCGGTTTGTCAGTCGCATTGACACACATGTTACGTGCATCCCAGCGTGGCTGACGCGGTTTTCTGTTTCTCACACACGCGTGTGCACGCGCGAGACTAGAGGGTTACGCAGACAAGTCGAGGCTGTAACATAATTTTCTGGTGTTTGCACGTGTCAGGGCTGCCGACGAGAGCTACTTTGCTTCTACCACGGTGCGCAGTCGTTCACATTATGAATTTACTCGGACAAAATCGATTCTGATAGTAATCGTCGCCATCTACTTGCACAAATTGACCAAAGGGATTCCACTTCTTTTCTTTTGGATTCAATCATTAGAATTCCACCGAAATTCTAGTTTTATTCACGATAAAATCACTCGGAGCTTATCAAGAGATTAACCAAGTCCTGAATGTCTTGCACCGAATAGGAAACTGATCGCGAAAACTTTTTCCAAAATCTAATTCTTTTCGATTATCTGCCACGATAAAAATGTTAAGAAGAGCAATTACGAGATCCCAGTTTCCTCGATTTCTTTAAAAGAGAATTCATGGCGAAACAGGGAGTAGATTTCAGAGTTTGCAAAGAATGTTAGGTACGTGTCTACCTTCCCCTCGGAAAGCGGTAATTTCAGACAGTGATTTATCATGGCGAGCGTGTCGGGTAGCGTTAAAGAAACTCCGCGATAATTTTGAACCTAATGGAGAGGTTCGATATCGAAACACTGGAACTTCCATCGATCGAATATTAAACCTTCCACGAGACATAACGGAAAGAAAGGAAAAAAGAACGATACTTTCATGAAAGTTGTACAATCTTCCATGATAAAAATCACCAGGGATTCGTCTTGACTGCTCGATGGTGATTCGAGATAGGAAAGATTCGAAGGGTGTCTCCCCTTTTCGGCGAGAAAC